CACTCCCACAGTTACCAGGCACCAGGCCCTGCCCCAAGCACTGCTGTGTACGAACTCACTTCACACTCCAGCAAGCCTTTGTGATGCCACCATCACCAGTGCAGTTGTTCAGATGAGACAACTGGGCAAGGGAAAACTAATCTTCTTGCCCAAAATCACATAGCTTCTTAGAGGCTCTCAGGAAATTCAGCTCCAGAGCCCGTAAGAGTTCCAGGAATAAAATTAATGAGAGACGTATGTGCTCAGCATGCAGGACTGAGTACAGGAGTTCTTGACACTGAAAAGAGAAGCTCAAAATACTGAAAACAGAAGCTGTTGATATGGAGAAGTCTGTACAATTAATTTTTCATGCATATACTCATATATAAAGTAAACCACTTATTTTCAAACCCTGGGTGTTATGTGATTTACTGGAAATGGCAGTAGATCCGCACAGACTTGGGTCAGAATCCCAGTTCAAGCCCTTTAACTTGGGTGAGTGCCCTCACCACACCTCCCATGACTTCCCCCTCAACGACCCAGCTAAGTCCCAGACAGGCCCTCTAGGAGGATGCTTAAGGACACCCGAGAGCTGCACCTGGCTAGCATGCAGGGGATGCTCAGAAAACATCAGGTGCCTTCTCCTTTAGTACACACAATCCACCTATTAAAGGAGCCTTCTAAGGCTGCCGAGACTGAAGCCCAAAGTTACAGTAACTTTCCTAAACTAGTTGAGATAACAAAAAACAAAGTAGCAAGGAAAAAATGGACAGAGGATATGAACAGGTAATTATCAGATGCTATTAGCAAGAAAACAGTCTTCCAATACTTTCAGCAATTTGTGAAATGTAATTAAAACAATGTCTTCTTTGCCCATCACACTGGAGAAATTAACAAGATATATATACATCAGAAAAAGAAAATCTTGTATAAACATTTTAATACTAAATTTATTGAGACACTGTGAGATTAATAAAAGGTATCCGCAGGCTCTCCAATTACAGGAGGTGCTCAAAGGTGTGGCCATTGCCTTCCAGGCACTAATTAATACAGGGAACTGCTGAAGTGTATACACATTTTTTTTTTTTTTTTTTGGTGGACTGTTCTGCTCAATGTTGCCAAGTCAAAGAGAAATAGACATTTTCACTCAATGATGGAAGGAAAACAAATTGATAAAAGTCTTTTGGTGGGCAATTTGGCAATATAGTATTTTCCATTTAGAATTAATCTTTATCACAGAAATTCTACTTAAATACATGATGGTTAACACTGATGTGGCTTATGCCTCACTATTTTTAGGGCAGAAAATCAGAAACAACCTAAATAACCATCAATGAGAGTGTCAAATTATATGATACATTCACACTCTACTAGATCCAACCCTCCAAAAAGCAAACTTACTGTGTCAGTATATACAGATATCTAGAATATAACCCTAATTTTTAACTACATCTCCAGTGACCCCTAAGTTTTTGAGACAGATCTTGCTAAATTGTCCAGACTAGCCTGGAACTAGTCTGCCTCCTTCTGCCTCTGCCTCCCAAATGGTGGGATTACAACCCAGCACTTGGTTCTCAACACCATTCCCCACTGATAGGGAGAAATGCCTAATTCCAGGGCTGCAGCAAGGAAAGTACAGCTGAGTCTTGATGTGCCAGAAAGAAAAGAAGTCCTTACAAAAGACAGGAAGATGTCAAAAAGATAAAAGGGCAGGCTGGGAGGGACCCCCGCAACCCACATCCGGAACAGTTTGAGCCATAAAATGAGAATAACACATAATAATCTACCAAATAAAGCCAGAATTCATGGATCCAGAGATGCAAATCAGAAAGTAAATAAGGAAGAAAAGAAAGCTCTCTACAGTACTATTCCAACTAGTAAATGTAGAAGGAAATGTGGAATTCGAAAATCACCATCTGCCAACTGTCATAATAATTGACTCAGATAAGAAACATCCATGAGTTCCAAAACAAGTGAGTAAAAGAATGAGGGCAGTATATTTACGGTCTCACATTTTCTCTCTATGAGATACATAAATGACCACAAGAGGAAAAAATGGAAACTGTCCAATGAGACAGACACTCTTCTAACCAAGTAATCAAAGTTAACAAGGCCAGCAAAAGGACTAATGGACACCACGTGTCTCTTAATGGACACCAAGTGTCTCTTAATGGATACACTAGCTAACAAAGCTGGGCATCAAGCCTATGCTACTTCTGCCGGAAGTGCAGAACCTGAATCTAACCACGAGCAAACCCAAATTGAGGGACACCATATAAAAAACAGCTGGCAGTCTTAAAATATCCCATATTAAAGGACACTACAGAGATGGAACAATTTAATGCAACAAACGAGCTAAGAAGTTTTCCTTTTGCTATAAAGGACATAACTGAGGCAAATGGCAAGATCTAAATAAGATCTGTACATAACAGAATATATCAATGTTTATTTTCTAATGTTTAAAAAATAATCATACCTTTATTATATAAGAAAATGTCCTCGTTTTTAGGAAATGCACAGCAAAAAGTACTTAGAGGTAAAAGGGCACTTAGCATGCAACTATTAAATACACTAATGCGTTAAAAAGTAATCATGCATAATTATGAGGAGAAAGGAAACAGCAAAATCTCCATGTCAGAAGAACCTGTATAAAAGAATAGCTAAGAAGCCTTTATTCTTGCAACTTTTCACTAGTCTCAAGTCACATCAAAATACAATAAATAATTAAGGCAACAAGGTGTGCACCTGGTAAATTTCTGAGGCCCAGGTTCACAATGGGTACTTCCTTAAAAGCACAAAGACAGTCAAAACGAAGCAAGCCTGGGTGACAATTAATATTTGTCTCCCCATACAGCTTCTGCTCCTGGACAATGAAGAAGGAAAAAAAACCCCGCTGTGATGAAGGATCTCTCAAGACCAACTCATTAATCAAGTCCCACAAAAGCAGCACCAACAGAACCAAGCTTCTGTTGCTGCAGATCTGTGCTATTTTTTCCTCACTGAAAGTCAAAACCTCCTGACACGGTAAGTAACTGATGATGGTATGGGAACAGTTCTAGGATATGTAAGCTGAAATTTTTCATTAAGAAGTTAAAACGGGGGAAAAAACAGGCTTGATGGAAAGTCTCCGCCTCCACACTGCCTTACTGAAACTTGAGATGCTAAGCCACGGGATGGGGGTGGCGCTGAGTTGGTCCCCTGGAGCCTTTCAGGTTCATTTCTAAGATGTGGTCACAAAAGTGCGGGGTGAGAGCGGCCCTAGGTAGACAGCTGAGCAGGGAGACTTGACAGACCGACAATTCTCTGCCACACATGCCATTTCTTCAGTGTTCTAACACCTACAAAAAGCTCTCGTTGAAATTATTTCCTGAACATGTTTTTTTTTTTTTCTTAAACTGTAAATTCATTTTAATGGCAATATTACAAAAAATCCAGTTTCCAAACAACAGGATAAACTGTAGAGTCCAGCTGGAGCTCTGAGTTTCCCCAGTTTACCTGAGCAGATAAACCCCAAGATGGAAAGTGTGGGATGAAAACTTAAGTTGCTAGGTAAACAAGTCAGTACAATTAATTCTGTTGCAGAGCTAGAAAGAAACAGAGCAGTCTTTTCTCTTTGGATCTGTCCATTTCTTTAAGATCTGTCTTTGAGTCAACCCTCCCAGGAACTCTGACTTGTTGCTACAGTATGTTTACAAGATATTACAGGGAACAAGGCCTTGTGAGGTTCAGAGGCCACCCCTGGGTCAGCGTCATAGTCCCCTGACACCATCCCTCCTGCAGAACCACAAGGATACCTCCTCATGTGGGCGCCACCTTTCAGCTCTCTTCAGAAGCAATAAACTGGATCTTCCAGTGGTCAATATTTCAGCAAAGAACCCCCAAAACAAAGGTCCTTGCCTAGATCCAAAGAACAAAATTCCTGAGGAAGACAGCCTGCTTCCAACCAAACAAATATCAAGTCTTCACTGCAGGCCAACCTTGAGCCATTCCACATGAAGAGCATCTAGATTTCAAAATAAACTCTGCAAACAAAGATGCCGTTTTCACTTTTTAAAGATGCAAACATTGAGAACTGGAGCCAGCTAGGAGCAGACCCAGAATTCACATCCTAGGGAAGCCTGCTCTGTCCCCAGCTCCTCCTGGTGCCCAGGGTCCATGCGACCCACTGTGACAAGGGACGAACCACACAGGACTGCACAGCAATATCCCAACCCCCCACCCTTCCCTCATTCCCGTGGTTTAGATGCCCTGAAAGGTAGGTGACAAATCACATTGTACTCTTAGGCAGTTTCCCAACACAAAACGCAGTCAGTGGCAAAGGCAAAAGACGCAAGGATGGGCTTTTCGAACGGCCTATACTTCCTTCTTATCCAGAGAAATATTTTCATGATATGTCAACTCGGGGGGAGGGGGGAGTCGGAACCCATCATTACGTAATGTCAGAGGGCAGGCGACAAGGGGCGGTGGGGAGGCCGAACTCCCTGCCTTCGCCCACGAAGATATAAATTTACGCTTGACATTTTGAGCGACGCAGCCTTGCATGGCGTGCACCTCCATCACTGGCTTCTCAAAGGCCGGCCACGGCAGCTCCCTGCACCTCTCTCGGGCCTCTTTTCCCTGACGTGCGAGGCCGGAGAGAGAAATGCAATGTCCAAAAGCAAAGAAGCTGGAAATGAGGTTGGGGATGGGGATAGGCGGAAAAGGGAAAGAGTCGCGGGGACGGCGCCCCGATCGCTCACCCTGGCTGCTGTGGGTTCTCGCCCGCTCACGCGCACCGCACACCAGAGGCACGGACAGGCCTTCGGCGTCCGAGGCACCGGAGCGGCCCCGGGGGTCTGCGGCGCTCACCGACGCCGCTAGGCTATGCATTTCCATGACAACCGCGGGCGCCGGCCGCGCCGGCCCAGCAGGTTCCTGCCGCACCGGCCGCGCCCCGCTCCCCCCGCACTCCACCCAAGGTCCGCCCGCCCGGGTCCGCTTCGGCTGCCCCGGCCCGGACCAGCCCGGCCCTGCCCACCGACCTGGCGCGCCGGCCTGCGGCGTCCCGTCCTGTATCCCTGGCCGCGCGTCCGGGCCCCGCTGCAACAGTGTAGCTGCCCGGCCGTGGAGTCGTCGGCTGCAGGCCTGACCTCAGGTGCTGTTTCTCCTGCCCCGGCCCCGGGCCGCGAACCCGCCGCCCGCGCGCTCCCCGTGCCCGGCGGTGCCTCAGCCGCTGCCGCCGCCCGCCGCCGTCGCCGTCCCCAGAGCCTCAGGCGCCGAACGCGGCCCCGCCCAGGCCCCGCCCCCTAGCCGCGCATGCGCGGCCGCCAGCACCAGCTGCCGGGCCGCGGGTTCCCGGGCTGTGTCGGCTTCCTCCGGGCTGCAGAGTGGAGGTGTGGAGCTACTTCTGCTCCCACCCTGCTCTGTGCCTGCGCCGCCATCACGGAGGTCCTCAACCTCTGGACCTGCGGCTTTTGAGGCCTTGATACGACCCAAGAAAGCAGATCTGTTAGAAGACTTGGCGCGCCTAGGCCACTGGGTCCCGGGATGCCCCTGTAATCACTTCCTGGGAGACGTTTAGATTCCGACCAGAAACAGCAAAAAATTAAAGTTGCAATACTTGAGGTATGTGGAGACTTATAATGGCTACAATACAATTGTCCATATTCTCCCAGTCCACTTCTGACATGTGTACATCAATGTGTATATCGATGGCATATGTCTGACATGTGCCAGACTTTAGACTCTAAACAGATACCAGCTCCTTAACTGTTCTCATCCAAAATTCTGTCTTTCCGTAGCCAAACAAAATAGAGGTTTTGGAAGAAATTTTTGACTTTAATGACAATTTTTTTTTTTTTTTTTTTTTTTTTTGCTTGCTCAAGGGTAAATAGGTACTGTACTAAACAAAGTTGCTTTATGTTTGGGTCTACAGTTTCTCAGAAAACTTTCTCCTTAAAAATTCTGCAATCAAAACATTTCAAATCAGCAAACCACAGTACTTCTCTGAGTTCACACTTCAGGTACAAAAACAAGTATGTTAGAAATGAAAATTAAGAATTCTCTGAATTTACTTAAAATTAGATTTGACCCTTAGTATGTCACCAAAATTCAAGGGCTGACAATAGTCTGGAATAAAAAAAAACACAAAGATACAAGGCTACTTTTTAATTTTTCTTTGTTGACTTTTAATTTTATTTCTCTTCTAAAAAGTGGTTTATTGGGGCTGGGGATTTAGCTCAGCGGCATAAGCGCATGCGTTGCAAGCAGGCAGTCGTGAGTTCGATCCCTGGTACCGATAAAAATGAAAAAGACAAAAAAAAAGTGATTTGTTTACAAAATACTTGCCATTTACTATCTTTTTGGGTGAATGAAAGGAAATGACAGAACCTTGACTCTGGTGTAAAATGAAAGCCATGAAAATCTAACGTGCTTGTAGGAATGCAAAAGTACTTTCATATTTTATTTTCTAAAATTAATGCAGCCAGTACACTGATTTGCCTGTGACCACCAGTTTTCTGCTTCCATTGTTTTTTTTTTTATTTTCCCCAGAAAAATGACCAATAGAACCTCTTTCACTCTCAAAAGTGTCCTGTTCAGATGATAGATCTAATGAGTAACATAAGTGTCCTGTTCAGATGTTAGATCTTAAATCAGTAACATTTTTAAAAACAGAGAGAGAAATTTAAAGTAAACATTTAAAAACAGCCATCTGTCTAATTTCAACTTTCTTTCACTTAGCACAATGACAAACGCTGAAAGAGGCTCAGACTTCCAACAGTATTTGTCATTTGACTTTTGCATAAGTCTGATAGGCTTAAAGATCAACCATGTTTCCCGTGTGGCAAAGAATAGGCCCTAATGCCGCTGTAGAATGAAAATTATCAAGAGAAAGGGGATGTGGGCTTGCGGTAAATGCAGTGCTATGCATGTCCTGTGCATCACAACGCTATAGAAGAAAATATCCTTCGAGTGTGTGGTCGTACACTTAGTATCCTTCTGACACCTTAGTACCCTAGTACTTAGTACCCTAGTACCCTTAGAGATGTCAGAAGGTTTCCACATGTGGTCACCCACCAGTGGCCTCAGCATTATCCAGAAAGTGCTAGAAATACAGGTTATCAGACCTCACTCTAGACCTACTGAATGAGCATTTCTGAAGGAGGCTCCATATTTTAAGAGGCTTTGTGAGAGGAAACAAAGCAAAGTGGGAATACCAGGTGTTCAAGGCTACCCTGGGCTACATAGTGAGTTCAAGGCCATTGAGATTAGCGGCATGAGCACTGAATGTGCTGGGTTTAAGAATTTAAACTGTCACTCCAGGCAGAGGAGGCCTCTCATTGGGTCTTTCAGAATGTGATCAATGCTGTGACCAATTGGTGCTGAGTCGTGTCAGCTGTATCTACAGCACGCATCTACTCCCATAATTCATTCTGTGACACTTGGGTGTGTGAGGTGCTATCCATATGCAGGAACCTTTAATAAACCCCAAGTGAAGAAAGGCTACCACATGTCCTGCAGGAGGATCTGGACATGCATCCTGGTTTGGGATGTTGGAATGTCCTGGGGAATCTTTGTTTTCCTGCCTGTGAGATGTAGGTCTTAGGCTGTGAATGGAAGAAGTGGCCCTATGGCTCCAACTGTGTATCTCCATTAGAAATAATCACTAAACCTTCCCCAGCTGTGATGAAAAACAAATCTACAAATCCAAGAATATCAATAAGCTTCAACAAGAATGAACTCAAGGAAATCCACAGCCAGACACACCCTAATTAAACTATCCAAAGCCAAAGATGGAGAGGGTCTTAAAATGCATAGGAAAGAACCAGTTTGACATGCAGACGGGATCCCCAGTGAAGTCAGTGCTGGTTTTACAGGAGTAGAACATGGGGCCCCATCTCAGATCTGCTGAGTCACGGCCTGAGCTTCATAACAACTCCGAGCGCACAGAGGTCCGAAGAACAGTGCTGTCTCTGTCATGAACCCCCCTAACTGCTTGCTCACCATGAATTTCATTTCTTATTCATTCTGTTTTGCTTTCCTTTTAAGGGGTATCCTAATGACGCTTTGTTTTCCAGCTAAAGTGGATCATCTGGTTCAAAGCTGGCTCTGAGAAAGATGGAAGCATTTCTGAGCACTCTGAGGATCTGCATGTGGAAGGTCATTGAAATGGGTTACTTACTTTCTGATTTTTTTGTTCCATTTGTTTGTTTGTTTGTTTTTGTGTTTTGACAGGCTCTCTTTTGTGTAGGTAAGGCCATCCTTGAATTCAATGTGTAGCCCAGTCTAGCTTCCAACTCTTGATGATCCTCCTGCCTCAGCCCCCTGAGTCCTGGGATTATAGGCATGTACCATCATGGATAGCTGGGATTGGCTGCTTTGAAAGGACAACTCCTGTTTTCAATATTGCCAGTTCCTTGGAGATGACCTAGGTGTGCTAGTGGAATCCTGTGGCCATGTGTGCTGGTGCCCTAGGGCAGATATGGTTACCAGGGGGCACACAGACAGGCATACCTTTCCAGTAGGATAAATAAAATGGTCTTGTGTGTGTAATGTTTTTAGGATCAAGGAATGGTGGGGTGATTCAAGGGCCAACCTACTGGGAATCATAGGTTACCCACAAATATAATTTTAAAAATTTCAATTAACTTCCAAAACCTAGCCTAATTCTTTAGACTCCGTGGGCTGTGACCTACAGTAAGAGATACAGTTTACACCTCAAACACATATAGATGTGTTTAACAAACACAATTTTCTTGGAATAATACTCTGAAGAATGGTGCCAATCGCAGCCTGTTATTTTCCATTGTGTTCCCTTGAGGCTTGTCATTTGATTGATTTCATGACTCAAGAATGGATTGCAGCCCATGATTAAAAATAAAACTGTTTTCCATGGAATCATAGTAAATTTGCAAGAAAAGCTGTTGGACGCATTCTGCTTGGACACATGAAGTCAACCCAACTCTACTGGCACAATTCAGCTTGGTGATGAAATATGTGGCCTCAGGAATCCCCAGGGAACTTGGAAGCTTCATGCCCTAGACAAGGACATCCTCTTCCAAGCCTCAGTTTCCCGTCTGAAAATAGGTATAATTAAAGTCTCCCCATTCCTCATCCCCATGTCTCTCCTCCACCTCAACTCGCCCTGGTTATCCCACAGGCAGCAAAACTGGCCCAAGGTCAGTTTTATGTATGGCGATGGCTGGAGAGCACCATCAGAGCCTGGACCCTTAGGAACACTGAAGTTTCAGCAGGCAGATTTGGAAACCACATATGTATGTATGGCACTTCCTGGCTGGCATGGGAAGCAAAGTGCTTCTTTCTATCTTAAAAGGCAGAATTTTCCAAGCACTTTCTTGAGGTGTTATTGAAACGAACACTACATACATTTAAGATCTATAATTTGATGAGTTTGTGCATATGCATCCTTACACCTATGATACCACTGTCACAATCAAAATAAGAAATATGTCTATCACCTCCAAGAGTTTTTGGTGACTCATTAAAAATAGAAAAAACAAGACTTGCTATTTTTACCTGAAGTAGATCAAAGGCAGATCTTGTGAAGAGGTATCAGCACATACCAAATGGCATTGACTTTACATGGTGAAGATTTATTTCTCACTCAAGTCACAGTTTTAGGGGCTGCAGTGAAGGCTCAGGGGGTCCACGCTCTTCAATGCCAGGCCTGCATGGCCACTGGGGATGAGGAGCACTCAGACACACCTCTTCTGCTCATCTCCACCCAGCCACGACTGGGCGGGTTGTTTGATCAGCCTAACTCTAAGGCTGGCTGTGAGGTAGATAGTGTGGGTAAGATGAGTGTGTGCACAATACCTAGCCACATATATGAGGTGGGAGAGATGATGATATGACCATTGCCACCATCATCAAAAGCCACACTGGCCACAGAGAGGGAAAAACAGCGATGAATTCATTTATCAATGCTTTTATAATCCTACAACATCAGTGATTGGCTAATGAATCCTACAAATGTCAGCACCATGCTTACTTTGTCACCATGGCTTATAATTACTGAAAATAGCCTTGCTGCCATTCTTGAAAGCTAGAGAAGTCCTGATCCCTCCACTCTACATGGGAAGATCTGTTTTTGAATCATGCTTTCTACACAGGGGGAGGTCCTGGGGGAAGACACCTGTATAGCTCAGCTCAACCCTTATCCTGGAAAATCATTCCCACAAATGGCAGAATTAACAATTAGCCTAATTTTGTATACTGCAATCACATCACACACACATGACACCTCCCATCAGCAGCATTTAGTAAAGATGAGAGCTGGGCTTAAACTACAAAAGCATCAGTATTGCCACCAAATCTATGAATACCAATCTCTATTAATGGTTTAGGTTTTGCATAACCAATGGAAATGGATGCAAGAATCAAGTCATTCTGCTAAAGTAGAAGCAGTCATGGGGGCCTAGGGTTTACCACCCTCTCAACCATGGAGAGCTGTGAGGAGCACCCACATGCTTCAGTGACCATACCAGAAACCCCAGGAAACCATCACCCAAATGACTTACCATGTGTCATTCGTAAGTGTCTGATCACAGGCAATTTCACTGGAAATAGAAGGTTTCCATTAATATATAAATCAAAATTTAATTTTTAATACTTGAAAGTATGTATGAAGTTTCGAAGAATTTCCAAAGACCATTTTGGGATTCTCATCTCACCACTGAAAATAGAACTTGGATTATTTCAAAGAAACTGTCAAAAAGAGCTTTGAAGTGTCCACATACTGCTCTGTTGAGATAGACTCTTCATTAACAAGAAAAGTTTATCCTCAATATCTAAAGCCATCCCAGTGCAGCTTAGGGCATCTGCAGTCCTCAAGGTTACTGTTTGAAGGTCATGAGCCAGGTCCATCCAGCTTTCAGAACCTGGAGAAATACATTTCTGTTAAAATTGCACAAGCGATGGCATTTTGTTACAGCTTTTCCAAAGCACTAAAGTTCTGTATGTGGAACAATCAGGCTCCTTCTTGAGAGCCCATCATTTTAATGTTTCCCTACATAATTGCTCCTTTCTTTTTATGATGGCCTTTAGCAAATACAGTCTTAAAGCAAAGCAGTGAAAGAGAGAACTGGGAAAAGGAAGGATGACACACAGGGACAGTGACCAGCACAGAGACCTATTTACTACAGATTCGAAGGGCATGGTCCAGCATTCTATCTTTCTTATATCTCTTTTGTATTTTTCCATAAATAATTTAATCACAAAAGTAATGCATGTTTTTTTTTAAATCCTGGAAGTTATAGATGAGCCAAAAAAGGACAAAAATAAAGATCATTCATAGTTCTACCTCAAGATAATGGTGCTAAGGACTTAGTGTGTGTGTCTTTCCACATGGCAACACACTAAATCCATATTTTAGAATGAAACACAGAATGAGAGTGAGCACAGAAGAACTTTCCAAGGTCACCATCTTAGTATGTTCTGTGATCTGTGACAGAATGTCTGAGGCTGTATAATTTATAAAGAACACAGCTAGGGGGCTGGGGATTTAGCAAAGAACACAGCTTTTTCTGGATATGGTGGCACATAGCTATAGTCCCAGCTGCTTGGTAGGCTGAAGTGGGAGGATTGCTCAAGGTCAGGAATTTAAGAATAGCCTGGAAATACAGTGAGATTTCCTCTCAAAACAAACAAACGTTGGGTGTTGTAGCCCAGCATTTTAGAAATTGAGGCAGGAGGAGCACAAATTTGAACACACTCTGGACAAATTAGTGCCTAAGAAGCTTATCTTAAATAAGAGCTGTGTAGAAAGGGCTGGAGATGTAGCTCAGTGCAAACGCCCTAGTTTATTCTTTACAGTTGTGGAGTAGAGGTTAGGAGTCCAAGGGGCCCCCATCTGGCCATCTGGTGAGGGCTTTCTTGCTACAGTGGGGTAGAAAAGCAAGCGATGTGGGCTCCCTTTGCAGCTCCCCCATACTTCTCGCCTTCCCCACAAGTGGACTTCCCTTTCACTCAGAATATGTGAGGCTTACCCTGCCGGCAAATTTCCTAAACAGCGAGATTTTTAGTTGAAAATGATATTAACCTTATAAAACATTTGATCTAAATTCTGAATTCTAAACTCTGATCTGAGTAGTTTGTAAAGAACAAAAATAAATTTTGAGGATGGAACTCCGTTATTGCACAGGAAGAGTCTTGAAATAGAGGCAAATAGAATCCTCCCCCAAAAGGAATATTTTAAAAGTCAAATGAATTTCTGCAATTGGAATAAGTACATGTCTCAGTGCATCTCAGCCAGCTACCGGGGGTTCTGGAGTTGGGTGGAAAGGGTACTGTGCTGTGAAGGTGACCCCAGACACTAATGGCAGTTTGTGTGAGAAGTTTGGACACTCAGCATCCTTAGCCCAGTGACGACTACCAGAACCCATGGCAGTGATCACTCAGAAGCAGCCACTTACAGGTTCTATTTCCTCCCATCACAACTGTGCTTTTAATGTTCTTGGGAAAACTGAGTCCATTCTAATGTTGCCAGGGCAACATTAATGTTGCCAGGGCAACATTAATCATAGGACCAATGTCCCTCAGAGTTACCTACAAACACGTGAGTCACAATCCTCTTTTCTCTTGGCAGGATCAAAGATAGGCAGAATGGAGGAGCCTTGGGTCCTGGCTGACCCAATCAGTATCTCTAGCTTTGTGGCAGGAGCAGAGATACAATAGTATCGACAATAGGGTAGATGATCACCTTAACTTCCAGAGCCCTGAACACAGTGGCCATTGGTCAACAGAACATAGAAAACAGGAAACATGTAACCATTGGTTAATTTAACTTCTGCAAGTCCAAACTGTCTGAGTCTGGGCTTGAGTAGGAGAAGAAGACTAAGGGAAATAGAGGTGTATTTCCACTTCTCAGATCCCTGCATTTGGGGAATGCTTAAATCCATTGTGTAAGACGGCATTGTATTGGCACACCCTCCCCGCCTTCAAATCATCTCTCAATTATTTATAATAACTCGAATATTGTAACGTGCTATGTAAATGATTGTCATTGGGAATAGTGAAAAGAAAAACAGTTCAGTGCAGATGCAGTTCTTCCCCAAATACTTTCTGAGTGAGACTGGTTGAACGCAGAGGCAGAACTGAGGAGGGGAAGAGTCCACTGCAATTGGAAGAACGTGGAGGTTCCGCTCACATTTGCACCGCGGCAAGGAAGTTAGCAGCTCACCATGCTGACAGCAAATGCCCCTGCTCCAGGAGAAGCAAAATTTTTTAGCTTGATATATTGTATTTGCGAGAGTTCTCCAGGGGAACAGAATCAGCAGGAAATGTACACATGTAGTGATGGAAAGAGATTTATTAGGAGGCTAACAGGATCAGTGGCAGGAGTATCCACAATGGCCAGCTGTACTGTGGACAGCCAGAGGACCCAGTGGCTGCTCAGTCCCAGAAGCTGGAAGACGCACACCCAGAGGAACTGAGGATGCAACATCAGCCCAAGGCTGAAGACTTGGAAGCTCCTGGAAAGGCGCTGTTGTGCGCTGGTGTTGAAACGTGAAGAATCTGGGGTCTAATGTCCATGAAGCAATGGCATTAGCGAAAGAGGCATCTGCTTACACAGAATGGAGCTTTTTCAAGTGCAGGCTGACTTTCTCCTGCTTCCCTTCATCACGTCGGGGTGGGGCTTGCCTCCCAGAGCGTGGCCTGCGTGCAACCATCCCTAGAAACACTCCACACACCCACCAGGAAGTCTGCCTTAGAAATCTGCGAGGCGTCTCTTAATCCAGTCAAACCAACGTTCTCATAGGAAGAGCGATGCTAAATGTTAAATCCTTCTCTAAAGTGATACAATGCAAATTATTCAATACAAAATAGGAAATTTGAAGATTTTAGGCACAGTCAGGAACTTAAAACCATTAAGGCACATCAATCTGGCACAGAATAGATACACACTTTGCTCTTGTGAAAGCAAAAGCTCTTTGGCAGTCTTAATGCTGACCAGTCCCCCTGTCTGTACTCTTTCCCCGTAGACTTGATCACACATTTGCCAGTCCTTGTCACCACATTTTAAACCGTAAGGGATTCGTCTGAATTTTGAGACTAGGTTCTCCACTGGCAGCGTTAAGCACGACCTCAGCGATGGGTACTGTCAATCATGCTGCAGAAAATTATTCTCCATAAAATATGCCGCAGCAGTCCAGTGGGGGAGGCCAGCAGCAACTTCCAATTCTGGACCTGCGTCCCTGTTGTCATGGGGAAAGGAACAGCCCTCAGCAGGCCCTGTCCTGGGGACACTGCAAGTTTCCATAATGCACCATCTCAAGTTAGAATGGGACCCTCTACTGCCATCCGCTGGACACTGTTATAGTAACTATCCCAAACAAAACGCCCAGGACTCCTCTGCAGAGGCCCTGCTGGGCAATGCACAGCAGACCAACCATTGTGACCCCTGAAAGCTCCAGAGCCAACTTCTTCCCCTGGTTTCCAGCGAAGAAGCGAACCAGCGCCAGTAGAGGGAATACTGGCTGTACTCGACCCGACAGAGCTGGAGACTACATGCAGGGCACAATCCAGAAGATTTGCTAGGGTGATTTTAATGGTCTTTACCCTACCCAGCACTTAGATGTGGTGTGATTTTGTTCCCTCGCAGGTTCCACCAGCAGAAGACATGACTGACTATAAGTACTATGTATGAAATAGTGTCAAATTTGAGCCCAAGCGTGAAAGGAAGTGGCTGGGTATGGATTCTGAGGAGGTTTTCCTGTTAATTTTAGTTGGCATGGACAACGAGATGTCTAATCAGAGATTGGGCTGGTTTTCCAGAGTGGGCAGCAGTTGTCCTGGGACACAGTGGCTTAATCAAAGGTTATGGTTCCTGTGAATCTAGGGGTGACAACTTTTCACCGACGGAAGGGTGTCTGATGGCTGTCTGTCCTTGATGAAGGTGACCGTGGAGCTGTGGTACCTCCTGCATCTCCCTAGCCTTGTCTGCAGGCTCTGCCGAGCTCTGAGAAGATGCCAGGGAGGGCACGGTGCCAGAAGTGGTCCCTGCCAGCCTGGAGTCACTGTACTGCACTGTGACAGAGTCAGCAATGTGTCGCTTCAAGCCACTGATGCTGGAGTTCACTCGTTACAGCGGCTACCGTTGCCTGCATGAACGTGATTTGCCATTCACGGATGCATTTCATACCAAGGAGAAGTTGCAATAATGATATGAGGAGAGTGAAAAAAATTGAAGCTGTTAACTGTTTTCCTGCAAACTGGTAAAAATTTGCTCTTCCCAAATTTCAGAGCAAAGTATTAGTGTCTTTCACACAGGTTTCCATGAGAATGTGGTTTGGACAGTTTGGGGAATTTTTCTTTTTTTGAAACAGGCTAACCTAGAACTCACGATAATCCTCCTGCCTCGGCCTCCCCAGTGCTGGAACTGCAGTGTGTGCCACTGTGCTGGGCTGGTTTGGATAGTTTCTGGAAGGCTGTTTTCTGTTCCTCTTTCAGGAGACCTGAATCTGTGGCAGTGAGTGTGGGTGATGACAGACAACCCACCTTGGCTGGGCCTCTCCTCAATGCAGGTGTTGTCTGCTCACCTGACCAGGCGTAGCGTGTGAGGGCCAGACTCTCTCCCAGGCCCTGGTTGGCGTGAAGATCATCATGTTGCAGGGATGAGCCAACAGGGAAGAAGTACCAGGCACCCTGGCATCTCAGTGGGACTTTCACCCAGCTCAGGGTCCCGCAGTTAGGGGCCCGTGAGTGCACCATCCACCCTGGCTGCTTACTTCTCAGAACCTGATTTCTCCTGGGCTAATCCAGGAAATTCTCCGGCTTACCTGTTTCAGTTTAGCACATTGTTGGTGCACCAGGACAGGGATTCGCTCTTTGTTAGTTTACTCAAACCGTTAGATTTGAGAGCAATAGATGTGGTGGTGGTCACATCTGGATCATCCTGTACTCTACAGCACGGCTTCCCACACCATAGGGTTTGACACCACCACACCAGTGACTCCCTCAGTGCAGATTCTACTCTTCACTGTGCTTTAATGCAGTTAAATGCACCAAAGGAAACTTGTTTTCTATCGCAAGTCTTTGCCAGAAACCTCTGAAAAGCACATTACTAATTAAAGAAATCTCTAGGATTTGGGATCCTAAATTTTTTAACCCTTAGTGGAGAGTTGTTTAACAAACAAATTAAAAATTTAAGACCATGAATTGAAGTATATAGTAATGATTTAAAGTGAGGAAAAATAGCAATATGGAAAAAAACACAAACTGAAAATGTTCATCAGTCATGAAAATATAGAACAATATTTGTTGGTACTTAGGAGTCAGCTGGCGGTACAACCCCATGTTTTGGTTGACTGGTCACTTCTATGTGTATGAAACCAATTTTCATATGTTTTGATGGGAACAAAACACACTGACACCGAGGAAGGACCAGGGACCGGTGGTGACCCCAGAGCACCCAGGGTCCTTGACTTTCTGTGTCCCTGTCTCTCCCCAGCTCCAAATTGTCAGTATCTTCAGGCTCCTATCCTGGTCCACAATTTCTTTCTGTCTCTCTTTTTCTTTTCTTTTTTGAGGAGACTAGGAAATTTTTTTTTTTTTTTACTGTGACACCAAAGCACTAGGAAAAAATATATCACAGCCTCAACACAGTAAACAGGCAGATGATGTAATCATTTCAAGTAGTAAATTGGTAAAAGACAACATAACCCTTGTTCAGAAGACAAGGGGGCCGTGCTCGGGCAGGCACACTGCGTGCTGCAAGGGCCTGGGAAAACGGCATTCGGGAGAGGAGTCTCAGGTCCTGCTCTGGTTGCTTACTTTTTGACCCATCTGCCAGGGCTTTTCTCAATCAGGCACTGTTAGTTTAGGAGGTGAATAAATAATGCTGGATTTAGGCTTTTATTCTCTTCTGTTCTATGAAAACCAATTTTTCCAAGTTCATCACTTTACAACTCTTTAACTAGCCAAAGTTCCTATTTCACTGTTCACCCATAGTCAAAACTCTTTACCCTTCAGGGGAAAAATATCATTGCAAGATTGTGGAGTTTCCTCAAAAATGTAGGATCAGAGGTCCCATTCGGTCCAGTTATTCCCGTTCCGGGTATCTTCCCAGAGGAATTAAAAACATCATAGCACAGTGATATATGTGCACCATGTTTATAGCAGCACAATTTGTAATAGCTAAATCTTGGAAACAACCCAAATGCCCTTCAACTGAAGAATGGATAAAAAGATGTATTTTTATACGATGGAGTACTATTCAGCCATAAAGAAGATAAACTTGAGACTTTTATGGGTAAATGGATGCAACTTGAGGCCGTATTCATAAGTGAAATAAATCAGACTCATATGTGGAAAAATCATATTATCTCCATGGTGTGATAGAAAGAGTAACAAGGTCTGAAATGTATAATAGATACTGTGAGATGGGGAGAAACTGTACAAAAGGAAAGAGGAACTAGGATGGATAGGAGGCGAATGGGCAGAGGGGAAAAATGCAAGTTAGTTATACTGTTAGGTTTCTCAGTTAATTAAAAAGGACAGTTTGTGCTGATATCAAATGGAGAAATTTTTATGCCCGTATCCTGTACCCTGAGCAATTATTTTAAAGCTAACGACATGTAACGTATCAACTGTTGTTATTCCCCATTATTTTGCTTTGAAATTTTATTTTACCTCTTTTCCATTAAAAAACAGAGAATTAAAAAATAAAAGGTTGTCCTATTAACTGCCACAAAAACACCAAGGCCCATCAAACAGGAAAGGAAGCTGCGCTTTCCGCATGTGTGTGACATGGGCTGTCAGTAAGACGTCTCCGGGTTGGAAGATGTAGGGTGAGGATTTCAAGAAGCACATTTCTGTATCCTGATGCTAGAAAATGGCACATACAAGGAGCCTTTCAGGGTTCTTATCTACTCTCCCTCACAACCCTCATCTAAAATCCACTTCATGCCTAAGCATTTAGATAAAAAAGCCAAGCAAAATGAAGATATGGACCTCGCCCTTTATTCTGAGACAGGGTCTTGGTGTGTAGTTTGTGCTGGCCTTGAGCTCACTATGTAGTCTAGGCTGGCCTTGAACCCAGGACAATCCTCCTGCCTCAGCCTTCCAAATAGTGGGATTACAGGCACAACTACATCACCGAGTCACAGGCAGCTTGGAGGAACCTGTCAACCTGCTGGTATCTGTGTATCAGGAAGAGTCCAGGACCTCAGAGGCCTCTCCGTGGTAGGAGAGCAATCTCTACAGCAGAATAAAGGCTTGCCACATGAAATCTTGGTGCTAACACACTCTCCTGTGCTCTGACCCAAACCTGAGCCCCATTTCCCTCCCCCCATTTAGCACCCAAACAAAGAGGAACCAGGTCCAGAGGCAAATGTAGTATGTTTGAAACTTGCTGTCATCCATCTTTAGTTTCTTCATTTATAAACTTTAAGATTTCCATACTTTAAAAAAAAATAGATTCCTTCTTTCAGCCCAATGGCCACTGGCAAAGGCTTTTATTTCGCATTGGACAGGAGTGACTCCATCTTGGGCTGCAGCTGGAATGAGGTGCACGTGGTCATCCACACACTTGACCGCACAGCTGTCCGGTGACATTTCCCTTGAGGCTCCTTGGTCCCTGCATCCATCAGAGCTTTGGCTGTGATGCTGCAGTGCATCATGCACCAGGCCGGGCGGTCCTGTCACTTTTACAGCTCCTTGGTCACCAAGGCCTGGGCCTGAGCCAGAGGTGCGTGGCAGCGCTTAGTGCCCAGGTGCAGCTTCTGCACAGACACCTGGTCGTCTTCACGGGAAGTTGGCACTGCACCGGATATGAAACTGTGCATAGTGTCACAAACTTGGTTCCCATTTTATCCATTCATTCACAGTGTGCGTGTGATTTCAAATTTAATAGCTCATGTTTCCAAGTAAAGCAAATTTACAGCTAGAATGTGTGCTTGCCTCAAGCCTCACTTTGCAAAGCACCACGTGTAGAAGTTAGGTCATCCTTAAGGTTACATCAGTGATGGCAAACCTTTGAGAACTTTCAGTGACAACAAATAGCTGGCTGCAGGCCACAGGCCACAGATTCGCCACCACTGGGCTGTACCATTATTTGGAATTGTTAAGATTCTTTCATTAAAATCTTTCTGCCCTGGGATTATCCTATATCTTGGTATCTTTAAATTTGTCTTTATTAAAGTTTACTTTTTATAATGTATAGTTTTATGAGCTTGGGCAAACTGATGGCATCATGTATCCATAGTTTTATGAAATCAATCCCATCTCTCTAAAAACTCCCATTTCTCCTTGTAATCAACCACGCACCCCCTCCCAGCCCTTCAGTCACTGAGCTGCTTTCCATGCTTGAGTGTTTCCTCTCCCAGGATTGCATATCAACAAAGCTTTTCGCATGACTTGGTTGCAATACATGATGTTAATTATAATATCAAAAAGAACATGCGCTGGAGGGAAGTAAGCAGGTTCTTTCCACGATGTAACAGGCGACTGAGGGAGTTTACATCTCTGCATGAGAAACAAGGCATAGCATACAGGAGGTGCCTAATAAATGCTCCCTCACCCTCTCCCTGTGCTTTCTTCTCGTGGGGTGGTTTCTACTTTCTCAAATGGAAAAAGCCTTTAGAATCTTCATGCCTTGGTAGCATGCAGCCAGAGACAGTCACTGGAGAGAGGGTCCTTTATGAAGGACATCTGGTCTCCACCACCTGTTCCAGGTACACAGAAGATGGGAGATATTCTGACGGTCAAATTCAGCTACCGAGGGAGGCCACAAGGCAGAGGAGAGGCAGAGAGATGTTGTTCTTCTCCTGATGTTCCCGTTGTGCAGTGCTGGCAGCCACAGTGACAATTGGTTCCAGCCTCCTTTTGGGACTCCAAGGACCATCATCACCATGCAGTGCACTTCCTCAGACAATGTGCACATTCTTACCTTCACTCACCTCTCCGAGTCCCTGAATTATCAGTAACAGCTGGCAGCACCTTGGCCTCCAGGGTCTGGGTTCCAGCTCTTGGGGCTGCTCCTGCAAGCACCTTGTCCCTTGTTCATCAGTTTTGGGAGGAGACAGTTACTTCTTGTGCTCACCCTTCCTGCTAACCTGAGTGTTCTTTTCTACTCATTCATCCATCCAGCACTCACATGGTCAAGTCCCTCTATTAAACTCTCTTTGATAGAATATTCTGTATGTTTTTTCCCCTTCATCCCTAGATTCCACAGTTTAGGTTCTTCTTTTGGATTGTTTTGGATACCAACAATTTTGCAGTAACACTTGTGCATGTCTCTGGGTGTGCATGAGTACACTGTGTCCTACTCACGACTGTGTGTCTTTTCCCATGCAGTGTGTCCCCTCCCTGGCTCACCAGTACCTGTTCTTTCAAGGGAAACTATTGCCCTAGAAACATATTCTGGGGCTGAATCTTTCCTCCTGACAAACGCCAAAGCAGGAGTGATTAATAGTTTTTAATCCAGGTCTTAATACTGTACAAATATGAATCCAAGCATCATTAAAAGGTAAGGCTTCAAAACAGATGTGTTTTGAGAAACATCGCTAGCTACATTCTGCTTATAATATAAGCTTGGCTTTATGATTTGATAGATCCTCTAACCCATTTTTAAAAAGTTAAAATGGTCCAGTGGTCCAGGATAAACGGTCAGAGATAAGACCCTTCGAAATCCAAAGTACAATTGAAATCTCAGCCCCTCTGTGCAAACTGCATTAGAGCTCAACCATGTAGCAGATGGATTATAATACAGACCACAGAGACTTCCACAGCAGAGTGAGTGTGTTGTCTAATGGGAAGGAGGAGGAGGAAGAGGGAGCCAGGCAGCAGGGAGAGGGAGAGTGGGAAAAGAAGGAGGGAAGGGGAAAGGGAAAAAAAACCCCATCTTTATGTAATTTGAAATATGCATTTCAGTGAAAGCTGAAACACTGAGGTCATAATTTGTAAATATAGAATGCAAATATATAAATCTGTCATAAAATAGTAAGGGATTCCATTTACTGTATTTTAAAAAATAGCGAGTTCCTGATATCTGTAAATGTCCAATTACTCCGGAGCTTCACCTTCTGATATAATCCCAAGTGAGCTCGAGGCTGCTTTAAGAATGAAGGGAAACTGGATGTGATTGTGCACGCCTGTAATCCCAACATGCAGGAGGCTGAGGCAGGAGGATCTCTGTGAGTTCCAAAGTGAATTCAAGAACTACATAATGAAATCTCATCTCAAAAAACATAAATGTTTTTGAAAGAATGAAGGGACAGTTTGCAAAGATCTAGCCTATGGCTCTCTGAGAAGTCCTGGTTATCAGCTCTTGTTGATGACCTCTACTCTACAAGGCTGTCCTGAACATAGCTCTCTTTGAGCTAGAGTAGGTCATCCCCAGTGGTGATGTAGCCTGGTGGCAGCAGGCAATCCCAGTAGGGGCGGCTGTGTCCCAGCCCCCTTTGGGGATGCCCAGCAGCAGCCTCAGCAGGCAATGCCCCTTCTCACACAGTGTGCAGGTTCCTGGGTTTGCAAACTTCTCCGAGTTCCCAAATGACCAGTAACAGCCAGCAGTGCTCCCTCCCCTAAGATCTGACCTCTGGGACTTTTGGAATTCACAGAGATCTTCCTGCCTCAGCCTCCCACTGTCTTTGAGCCCCTCTTCACTGAAATGCTTTATTCCATGAAGCAATGGTGCTGGCTCAGTGGCTCAGAGTCTGGATTCGTGTCACTGATTTGAACGGCCATGGGGTGGCTTCTCATCATCCTACACTGTCTGCCACCAGAGCCCAGGTCTCTGGGGTCCCGGAGGGCATAGGGAAGATGCTCTGAGAGTATCCTGGCCTGTCTTCATAAGGGTGAGTGTGAGTTACTGCATGGCTTTTGGTTCCCTGTTGTCTTTTCATAATCAGAGGGTAGTGGAGTAGGGCTGGGGATGGGACAGAAGAGGGACAATGTTCTTCTGTTTATAAGACAGGTTAAAAAACCTGACAACCTCTTCCTAGATTTCATTTTTTTAAAAAAAAACTGGTCTGACTGGAATGGTGCACACCTGTAGTTCCAGCTACTTAGGGACTGATGCAAGAGGATCACTTGAGCCCAGGAGTTTCAGATCAGCTCGAACAGCACAGTGAAATTCTGCCTCAAAAAAAAAACACACACACACACACACACAAAAAAAAAAAAAAAAAAAAAAAAAAAAAAAAAAAAAAAATTCGGAGCCCTGTACATGCACAGACTTGGTCTAGGGACACATCACACTTCCAAAGCCCTGTCTCATTCAGCATTTAATGTGGACCTCACAATAACCTGGTACCAGCCAGGCTTGGGGGGTGCATGCCTGTAATCCCAGCACTTTGGGAAGCTGATGCAGGAAGATTGCAAGTTGAAGTCCAGACTGGGCGATTTAGTGAGACCCTGTCTGTCTCGGAATAAAAACTAAAAGATGGGCTGGAGGTGCAGTTCATTGTGAAGGCCTTGGGTTCAATCCCCAGTACAAGAAAGAGAAAGAGAGAGAGAGAGAAAGAAAGAAAGAAAGAAAGAAAGAAAGAAAGAAAGAAAGAAAGAAAGACAGACAGACAACATCTGTAAGTAACAAAATTCAATAACTGCCATTTAAAAAATCAAAGTGACAAAACAACCTGGCACTTCCCTGGGGCCAACGTCATGAGTCCCATTTTCTAGTTGAGGAGCCTGGGCAGCCTCCAGCAGTCACACAGCTCGTAAAGAAGCCATGCATATCACGAGGCTGCAACCGGTGGCATCACCTGGACAGTTGGCTGCGTGAAGCAGGCAGCAAACACCCTGATTTCACTGTCACTCGCCCGCCTCCTCCTGCTCAGCTGCAGCCACAGGGGCCTCGGTGGCAGCTGGGCTGCTCCCCCAGACCTTGGCCTGGCTCTCCAGCTGGCTGAGGCGCTGCTTCACCTTCATCTGTGCAGAGTTGTATTCAGCCAGCAGCCGCGCGAATCTGGTCTGCAGGGCGTCCAGGGAGCACTCCAGGTGCTCCACCTTCTCCTCGATATCCTTGGGGTCCGGCCCAGCTTTGGCTACATCCTCATCGATCAGATTATCCTTCAGGAGAATCTGCCGGCCCTTCTCCTCCAGGGCCTTCTTGGCCTCTGGGTACTCGGTGAGCGCCTGCATCAAGTCGTCCTTGGACAGGCAGAAGAGGTCGGAGTAGCCAATGCTCCTGATGTTGGCTGTCCTGCGGTTGCCCGACTTGCTCCCCTTGATGTTTAAGACGCTGATCTCCCCAAAATAACTGCCATCGCCGAGGACCACAAACTGGGTGACCCCGTCGTCAGCCACCACGGCCAGCTTGCCCTCCTTGATGATGTACATCTCCTTTCCGATGTCCCCCTTCTTGCAGACGTAGTCTCCAGGGCTGAACACGGCCGGCCGCAGCTTCAACACCAGCTCCACCAGAAGCCCTGCCTCGCAGTCCTGGAAGATGCGCACCTTGCGCAGGGTGTCCAGGTGCACGTTGATGGCGATCTCGGCCTTCAGCTTGTCTGGGAGGTTCTTGAGCACCTCCTTCTCATCCACCGTCTTCTTGTTGGCCCACAGGTAGTCAAACCACCGGATGACCCGCATCTCCAAGTCCTTGGTCACTTTGCGGAAGTGCATGTACTGTTTGATGGAGTCGATCTTGGCCTGGAACTCTGTCCTGGAAGCGTTCATGTTTGAGATCATGGAACCCACGTTGCCTACGATGGTGGCAAAGATCAAGACGCCCACCAAGAAGTCTACGACCACGAAGAGATACTCCTCGTCTTTCACAGGGGGTGGGGTCTCACCGATGGTGGTCAGGGTCAGGGTGGACCAGTAGAGGCTGTAGATGTACTTCCGGGAGAGGCGCCCATACTCTGGTTTGGAGATGTTGGGGTAGACCCAGGAGTCTGTCCCGAAACCAATGAACTTGGAAATGGCAAAGTAGATACAAGCATTCCAGTGGATGATAATGAGGATGTACAGGACCAAGTTCCCAATCCTGAACATATTGGGATAATTGGTCCTTGTCTCCGTGCGGTCAAAGAATTCGAACAGCCGGGAAAACTTCAGTAGGCGGTTGAATCTCAGTTCCGGATAGTTTACGCCCAACTTTAAATAAGCCAGGTCCGTGGGGACCAGGGACAGTACGTCCAGCTTGAATTGCAAGGTGTTTGTGTAATGTTTCCACAGCCTCTTCACATCCTGGATCATTAAGCCTTGTTCAAGGAAACCTAAAGAGTGTGAAAGAGCCACAGAAAGATACTTCACATCCCGATACACAACACACAATGATACACAGTAACGGAAAGAGTTTCAAAAAGCAGCACCTGAAACTCACTCTGATGATTTTCTTCCATGAATTCCTCACCTATTCACTCTTTCAAAAGATAGACCAAGTGGTGGGAAACATCAAACATAGGTTGCTAGAGGACAGCAAACAGGGAATATTAAATTTTAAAAGATGAGCGAGAATTATACATACATATGTATTTACTAAATAAAGTCTTAAAGTTGAGAGATACACTCTGGTGTGCTCACTGCCTGGAATTAGCTTGAAAATATGCTGGACCTGCCCCTGCAGCTTGAGCCCGGAGGTCTGGGGTGTATATAACAAGTCCTGGTGATGCTCGCCCTAGTCTAACACCACACTCTGGGTAGAGCTGTTCTTTTGGCTAACATGGGAAGTAAAGTTTGTTCACCTACAGCGTGAGGGATGTCCCACCTCCAGGCCATTCCTCGTGTTCTTTCTCTGTTATACAATCATTCTTTGGTACCAGGAGGTGGTTTTAGGCTCCTCCTCAAATCCTCAGAAGTTTAAGTTACTTATATAAAATACCACAGTATTTGCTTATAAGCTATGTACATTCTGACACACACATTTTTTTTTTAACAGTGCTGGGGATTGAACCCAGGGCCTTTGCACCTAGTTACATTCCTAACCTTTCTAAAATATTTTTATTGTGAGATGGAGTCTTGCAAAATCTCTAAACTGCCTAGGATAGGTTCAAACTCGAGATCCTCCTGCCTCAGCCTTCTTGTATTCTTTAAATCATCTCCAGGTTCCTTATAAGACTAATACATTGGAAGTGTTATGTAAATAGTGCTATATTCAGAACAGTAAATAAAAACCTTTACATGTCTGGCATGGGCACCATTTTTAATTCACAGCTGATTGGATCTGTGGGTGTAGCGTCTGTGGTCACAGAGGGCCTTCTGCACACATGTTTATCAAGCACGGAGGTGGTTACGGAGCACTCCCTGTGCTGTGGGACTCTTTGCCAGTTCTGATGCTTTGTTCCCATGGCCTGAGATCCAGCGGCAGGTTAGTTACCACTTCACTTGCCTCCGCTTCAGCTGCCTTGCTTCTGAATCTGGGGCTGCCTAGGGGAGTTCCGGCCAGAGGAGCCAGTGTCTGAGAGCTGGAGCCCTGCTCTACCTGGCGAGCTCTGGGACGGCCAGCCCGGTGGGCCTCTCTCTCTCTCACATCCAGACCTGCTGCTCCGCCATAGCAGAGGTCATCAGGGCTGAGAGTCACCCACGTGCACTTCAGGCCATGTGCTGGAATTCTACCCGTGTGGAAGCAGGGGCACAGTCTGGCATGGCTGAGCAGTGGGTGCAGACTTTGGACAAATCACACAGGGTCTCTGGCCTCGGTTTCCTAATTGGTAAGATTAGAAAATGATCACACCTGCACTCTGTTATTTTTTAAAAAATTTTTTTGTGTTATTGGGGATTGAACCCAGGGCCCCACGGATGCTAGGCAAGTGCTCCACCACTGATCTGTATCCCCGGCTCTTTTAAAATTTTATTTTGAGACAGGGTCTCACCAAGTTGCCCAGGTTGGGCTTGAACTTACAATCTTTCTGCCTCAGCTTCCCTAGTAGCTAGGATTGCATGGATGCACCTGGCTCGTGCAGCAGTTCTAATAAGCAAGCAAGATGTGGCCAAAATGCTGTGAGTACCATGAAGCCCTGTGGGGTCTGCTGCTGTGACGTGGGGCACAATTTCTGCTTCAAAGAGCTTGGAAAAGGCAAGCAGGGCCTCCACCCGCTGAGCCGATGATTTTGTGCAGATTAGGTAAAGGCGCTTAGGTAAAGGTGAATTTATACCTGACTTGCTGATAGGAGTGGGGTCACAGGGGCCTGGGTGGGTTTATCTTTTCCCTGCCTCTCCCTGCTCTCTCTCTCTCTCTCTGCTTCCTGTCTGCTATGAGCAACACTCTTCCGCCACAGCCCACCGCCATGCCATGGTAGACTGAAACCTTTACAAACTGTGAGCCAATTAAACCTCTCCTCCTTTAACTTGTGGGTGTCAGGTATTATGCCTCAGATGAGAAAGAAACTAAGACAGCTCCCAGTGCTTGAGGCATTGAGCTCACTAGGAACACAGAGCCCTGAGCCCAGGCATCCTGATACCTGCCCAGGGTCCTGTCCGAGGGTTCAGTGCTGAGGGGCCACAGCACCCACCCTTTGCTTGGAGCATCCCCAGCCCCACCTGATGCTCATGGTCACAGGTAGATACCATTCAACCAGCCATTCTGTCCTGTGGTCCTCATGGCCCCCTCCTGAGGACACATGGCCTGACAGAGACGTCCTCGGACCTGGCGCACACTCACCTGTCCGCGCTCGCACCAGCATGTCCAAGCCATAGAGGACGTCCGCCAAGTAGTCCAGGGTCAGCCACAGCACCACGTAGTCAGACTGAAGCTCATCAAAGCAGGCCCTAAACAAGCCAAGGAGGCGGTGTGAGGAGCAGGATGCAATCCCAGCGCCGGCCGGCACCAGCCCTGCATCTCATGAGTGGCTCCTGTCATGCCGTAGCAGTCCTGCCTGTGTGGGGTCACCCAAGTGCAGTCACCCCAGGATTTGGAGGAAGAGACCCAGGCTCTGCACTATCTATGGTCACTGTTAAGGCTTAGGGGCAGTTCACTGAGGGTGTGACCTGAAAGGGCCTGTCTTCCTCCCTAGCTCCCCACGTTGCTCTCTGTTTCTTGGCCGCCATGATGCATGCCCTTCCTGCCTTGGAACCACTGACTGTGGACTGAAAACATGAGCCAAACTAAACCCCTTCTCCTTCTTCAGGGGGCGGGTGGCAGATATTTTGTTCCAATGATGAGAAAGTATCGAAAGAGTCTCAGGGCTCCTAAGAAGAACTGGGGTTGTCCCTAAAGAGTGAATAGTGAACTACAGGACCCCAGGGAGCTACAAACCCCAGGCGGTTTGGCATCTCTAGGCCTCTCTGATGGAGTCAGGTAAAAGGGCCAAGGACTTTCTGGGGTCAAATTCTAATAAAAATACGAGAATTTCTGAGGGATTCATAGAATCCCAGATAATCGAACAAACCAGAAAATATTTTTTGCCTGTTATTTCTGTGTGCTCATGATTTCATACAGATAGTACCCCAAACTCCCCTCCCATCCTCAGCAGAGTGGTAGTGTGCCCAGAGCCCACCCTACAGTTTGCTCAGCCACCTCAAATCTCCTACCCATGCTTAGAAGAACAGCTGGTCCCCCCGTACCCCTGGACCCTAGCTTATATTCAGGGAGCCCACTTGTTAGGAAAAGCTTCCCTTTCTCTCCCTTTTGGTCAGCTCTCTCCTTGGGTGGGAAGAGCAGGAAACTGCCTTACCTGGAACGATCCTGAAAGACCCCTTACACCTGGAGAGTGTTATGGTTTGCATTCTAAGTGTCCCCAGTGGCTCCTGTGCTGAAGACTTGGTCCCCAGCCACTGGTGCCCATGGAAGGGGGTGGAAGCCTTAAGAGATGGGGCCCTCTGGGAGAAGTTACATCATTGGAGATGAGTCCCTTTGGGAGGGGCTATTGGGTCTCTGGCCTACTCCTGTTTCTCCTTCATCTGGGTGTCATGACAGGAGCAGCTTTGCTCCCCACCATGATGCACTGCCTCTCCATCGCCCAAAGCAATGGAGCCAGAGGACTGAATCCTCTGAACCATGAGCCAAAATAAAACTGTCCTCCTTTTAAATTGTCCAACTCAAGTATTTTGTCACCATGGAGAGGTAAAAGTGACTAACAAAGGTACAGTCAGGGCTTTCTGCACGTCTGCTATGTGGCACAATCAGGAATACCCCAAAACTGACCTCAGACCCCCAGGGCAGTGGCTCTCCATCCTGCACACCTGCTCAGAAATATCCCAAAGCCCACTCTCCACTCTCAAAAGACATGGAGTTGCCCCTGCATCCTGGTCTCTCATGGTGGCTCAGGAAACCCCAAAGACACCGCTTACGCTCCCAGAGCTGTGTCAGGTCAGTCCTGGAGAGTGCTTAGGAGACCCCAAGCCCCTTTGCTCTCAGAATCACAAAGCCCATGGGCCTGAGGGGAGGGGTCACGGCCCTTAACTCCAGAGCAGCAGCTGAGCCATAGGATTTTCCAGGAATGGGGGAGGCCCTGCAGCCCCCCAAGAGCACTTGCCGTGTGTCTTTGACTGATGCCTGCTCAGGAAAACTCCCAAAGCCTGACTTGGCCCTTGGAAGGACACGGCTCCCTCTGGGTCCCTACACTCCAGGATGGCACTGGAAAGCCCAAGTCCCCACTTTCCCTCAGAGAAGCAGCACGTGGCCCCACATTCCCAAGCAGCTGGCTCCCTAGGAAAGGCCCCAACCCCATCTCACGCTTATCAGACAGCAGCTGCTTGGGTGGGAGAGCCCTGCAGCCTCGGCAGATCTTCAGGGAACAACCGTGCCCTCTACAGGACTCACTCACCTGGGAACACTTACCATGTCTGTATCTACCCTCCAAAGAGCTGCAGCCTGCTTAGAAAACCCCCAGCACCCAAGTGTACACGCAGAGAACAGCGTCTCCCCCTGCACCCTTCCACTGCACATGCTCAGAAATGCCCCAGGTATTTTTGCTGAAATATTGACTCCTAGGCCCACCCTTCCCCTGCTAAGAGCAGCCACTTGCTTGTCCCCTCTGCAGATGACTCACAGAAGACTCAAAGCACCAGAACCCCCATCATGTAGCTTGAGCCCAGCTCCTCTGCGAGGGCTGAGAGCCCCTAAAGAGTCCTATCTGGGGACCCCCTGGTTTTACAGATAGGGAAACTGAGGCAGCCAAGCAGCATGGTGGCTATGAGGGGACCAAAATGTTGCCCCTCTGAGTGAGACTCAGAGTCCATTTCCTAGGCCCAGTTGTCCCTGCCCAGCCCTCCAGCCCAGTCCTACATGACCTGCACACCAGCAGACACCAGTTATAGAAGACGGGAAGCATGATGACAGTCAGCCAGTGGTAGTAGAGGTTGCTGGACGGGTCCACCACCATGGCGCCCTTCTTCTTTCTGGAAACCAGACATACACAGACAGTGCAGGGTGAGAATGCCCACAGCTTTGGAAGCTTTACAAACCTGCATTCAGGTTTGTAACTTAGTGACTTGAGGGCAGTCTCAGGTGGATACTTGAGAAGTGGCTGTCCACCACATGGTCCTCTCAGTCTCGGGGCTCACTCAGGGCATCTCTGAATAGAAAGACAGGCTGGGAGCCAGGGTGGATTCCCGAGTTCCTCCCTTCCCAGCTCAACTCCCCTGGAAACCATAAAGTCATGGCAATGGCCTTCCCATGTGCCTGTGACAGCCTCCTTATCCTTCGGGATGCTGGACATGGAGATGCAGTATCACCGAGGGATGCTGAGGGAGCAACGAAACCAGCTGGGGCAGGGCTGTGAAAATGCTGATTCCCAGGGCCCACCCATGACCCAGCAGAAGTGGGGGCTGGAAATGTGCATCTAAGCATGGTCCCCATGTTTCTGAAGCAGCTCCTTGCAGCTGACCTTGAACACTCTGGATCATACCCTTAGGGAGCTCTCTCCACCTTGCTCACTTACGCTGAAATGAGGTTATTGATTTCCTTATTGATATTCGTTATATATTGATAAATTGGTGCTTTGGCCTAACATTCTACAATTTCTGTTTCCATGAACTCTTGGGAGATCATGAACAGCCTGAGACAAGAAACATTTGGTAGTAACAAGAAATAAACCCAAATCCACACATTGAGGGTAGGAAAGTCACGTGGACTTTTGGAAACCACAGATCAAAATCTTTGTTCACATGGCCTGTAGGTTGTTTTCAGAATCTTCTCTGGAGCAAACAAACACCCGAGTTTTGAGAAATCCAGTGAGCAGAAGGGAAGCAAAATTCACACAAACCGGGACCAATTTGTCAGGCACACACAGAAGATCCCTGGTTTAGATGGTTTGATATAGAATTTTTTCCCCATCACTTTACAATGGTGGGAAAGCAATATGCATTCAGGAGGTGCTTTACCTTGAATTCTGAATTTGGACCTTTTTCCAGGTTAGCAATACGCCACCCAATTTTCTACACTGGCCAGCAGCAGTGATCATTATGTCCTCATATAAAATGTAGACGACTTTGCCAGGGACTTAGCTCAACAGCCTAAGTGCCTGCCTGGTAAGCTCAAGGTCGTGAGTTTGATCCCGAGTACCAAAAAAAAAAAAAAAAAAAAAAAAAAAAGAGCAGACTTTGTGTTGGAGGACGTTGCCCAGCTGTGGCTGATAGAAGTGTTCTGAACATTTTCACGGCAGACTAGACTGAGTTGTGACACTTGGTAGGCTCCTGTACTTGGTGTATTTTTTACTTTATTTATGGTGTTTCCCATTAAGAGACTGTGCTGGGACAGAGCCCCACTGTAAGCTGAGGAGCATCTTTAGCCGAAATCAGGGCCTGCGAAGGACGCACCCTTCTGGACTGGGTGCCTTTGAAGGGTTAGCTTTCATTCAAAGCTTATTTAATTAACAGTGATTAAAGCTCAGCCAGGCAGGCAGTGTCGACCCATGGAACAGTTGAGGAAACCAAAGTGGAAGGCAAAAGATTTGCCTGTTGAGTGGTGAGCCCACTGGAATCGCCCTTAGGCCCCTGATTTCAGCCTCCCACACTCTGGAAGAAGCACACACTGAGAAAAGACTGTCTATCCACTAATTAGTCACTGGAAAAGATCAGTGTGTTTCACATAGCACTGCCTGTGTGGACATGCATGGAGAAGATCAATCACCCACATTCTTTGCAATCATCAGAAAGTGTGAGCAAGAAAGTCACACAACAGCACAAGATCTCTCGAGAATGACAGAATTCCACCAGGTCACTTCAAACAGTGCTGGGAACAGTGACACAGGAAGATGATTCCTAATATTCTCTAGGTTAAAAGGAGGACTCCAAAAGTGTCTAGTCATAGGAGTTTCTTTTCTGTCACTGACAAAGGAAATGATCCTACATTTGGGGGCTTAGAAGTCCATTATCCTGCAGATCTCCAGGTCAGAAATCCAGGATGGGTCTCAGTTGAAAATCAAGCAGAGCCAGGCATGGTGGTGCACGCCTGTAATCCCAGCACTTGGAAGCCCGAGGTGGGAAGGAAATTTGAGACCAGCCTGAACTACAAAGTGAGCTCAAGACCAGCCTGAACTGCATAGTGAGACCCTGTCTCAAAAAGTCCAAAGGGAAAAAAGAAAACAAATCGAGCAGAGCCGTGACTCTTTCTGGAGGCCCTCAGGGGAGAGTCTGTTTCCTGCCCATTCGGATTATTGGCAGAGTTCAGCTCCTGGTCATCGTAGGACTGAGGTCCCCTTTTTCTTGGTGGCTGTACACCAGGGTCTTCCTAGCTTTTGGGTTCAGCCGTGCTCCTTGCTCTCTTCTTCCATCCTCATAGCCAGTAACAACAGCCGAGTCCCTCTTCCACTACGAGTCTCTTCTCCTCCTTCCGTCTCCCCTTTCTGACCCACTCTCCCTCCACCATTTTTTGCTTTCATCGTGTATGTGTTTACCTGGGGTCCACCCTGATGATCCGGGGTATCTATTCCTCTTGAGTTTGAAGTCTCCTTTGCCACATAAGATATCTGGGCCACAAGTTGCAATAATTATAACAATAGGCTGTAATTTTGTTGTGATTGTGTCGTGTGAGAGTGGAGAATAAGATGTTAGCAGTGACCCATCCTCTTCTATTGAATTTACAGTACAACGAGCGGGCCACTCGTGTCATAGGGCCAAGTCACCAGCAGAGGGCGCGACGTTCAAGCTTACCAGATGCACTAAACTATAGAGCTTAATTATAACCAGGCTTGCTTGCTGTATTTAGGTTTTAGGACCCTGGGTTTGGGCCATTTTTAACATTACCGAAGTGCTGAGGGCTGAAGAAAAAAAACAGTACCATCTAGCTGCATCCCTGAATCACCTAGATGGGCCAGAAGAATCTGCACAGAACTGTGACATGATGCTGGTTCTGTTGGGAACTAGTTGATCAAGGAGAGAGCAGTTATCCAGGACCTAAGGAATTGAGTAAAAACGCCAGAAGCGTGGTACAAGAGTAGAGGAAGCGGTCCACAGAGGGTTATTTTCCCTCTGCACCCAGATCTCTCAGGCCAGAACATTTCCCAATTTTGCCTGTTGGTCTGTGTGTGGACCCATGACCTGAGCCCCTCTGGAAGCTTTATGTGCCCAGGGAAGCCAGCACTACCCACCCCCCAATCCTTGCCCAGGTCCCAGCCATGGACAAAGCAGCCCAGAGACCCCCAGAACCTCTGCCTGCATTTCCGGTCCTATTGCCTTGTCCTGGCTGGGAGACGCAATACCAAGCTTTCAAGGGTGGCTTCTGTCAGGCTGGGCTTAGGTCAGGCATGTGTCACGGATGAAACCATTTCATTTTTCTTGACTGATGGCATTGGAGTTTCTGGGTTTGATTTCAAATTTGTGCAACCAAAATACATACTTCCTTTTAGACAGGAAACAGAAAAATGTTCTGGGAAACAAAAAGGGGAGTAAGACTGGGGCATATTCTGTCAAGCAGAAGTCAAAAGGCTGCCATTTCTTGCTGATATGAATGTTTTTTTCTCTAACCTCCAGGGAAGACTCCCCTCTCTCCCCGTGGTACTCCACAGAGAAGTGTGAGGCTGTACACACACACTAATGCACCTGGACCAGCTCCCATGCATGTGTACACACACACACACACACACCAAGCTCTTGGGCAGCACTTGAGAGCCACATGTTACCCTCACCTGCCAGTTCAGCACTGGGGACAGGAAGTAATTGCAGCAGGGCAGCCCCTCCTGCTCTGTGGAAATGTTTAAACTTCCTCTTTCCACTGCCCTGGTGATGCCCTCTAGATTGGCCTGAGTTGGCCCCCAGATCAGGGCCATCCCTTGGCATTCTGGAGCTTACAGTGGTGGAAGCAGCACATCTGGGGCTGGGAGGGGCTCCCGATGCTCCCCACAGGGGCTCCAGGCTGCACCCTCAGATACACAGGGACTCAGGATGCTGGAAAAAGCTTAAAGCGTTTATCGGCAGAGGCCCCTTTGCTTTGTAGATGAGAAATACATCCAGATAAGTGACACCACCAAGAAACCACGCAGACCTAGTCCCACCCCTGTCTGTCCTTGGGGGAGGGCTGGATTTCCAGTGAAAGGGACAGGAGTCCGGAAAGGTCTATTGGTGCTTGGGGTGGGTGGGAAGCCAGAGGACCTAGGGGAGGGGGAGGTAAAGTCAGCTCCCGCAGGGAGGAGGTGACCCTGGGGAAGGGAAGGAGCGCTGTGCAGCTGGTACTTACTCCTCCTCCTTGTTGTTGTTGCTGGCATTAGTATTGTTCCTGGCCAGGGGCCAGGCGCTGCGGGGTGGGCGGAGAGAAAGGGGCACAGGAGTCATCAGTTCCTCAGGACCTTGTCCCCAGCGATCACCCCGGAACCCCACCGCCTTCCCCCAAGCCAACACTGGCATTGTTACCCACAGGGACAAAGACTTTCTGGGATGGATCAACCCTGAAGGAGGCCTGGGGAGGAAGAGAGGATGAAGCCTTGGAACTACTCAGAGCGAAGGGGTTCAATCCCACCCATCATCAGGCCTCAGGTTCTACACCATTTCCGGTTTTAATCTACTTCTCAGGACCTGTCAACTCTGATGTCCTGCCAGGAGGCAGAATTGGCAATACCCAGGCCAAATGTGGGGAGCCAGCTCTCCAAACGCCTTCTGTGTTCGACAGGGAAGGTCTTAGCAACTGTACAGGGCTACACACTGCTGGTTTAAGCCAGCCAGGTGCCTCCAGAGCCTTAGGGTGGCTTGTCCATTCAAGGGCATGGCAGGGGGCTCATACGGACCATGGGAACTGGGCCGAGTGGCTGGTGACCCTGCAGCCTTGGCTCTCTGGGTGATATTTTAGGATGCAGGACCTCCAGCTGGTGCTGTTCAGGCTACTTCCACTCATCCTGCCAATCTCCTCCCCCAACCCCTGGGAGGTACGTGCATTCCTAGATTGGTTCTGCTCATCATAAGATTTCACCCTCCAGGGGGTGTAGTTGGCTGTACACACTCCTATGTCTCCATCCCACAAGGCCAAACCCACCCAGGGAACTAACTCCTGTGTCAGCACATGCTTTGATTTGCAGCTGTGACTTGGCTTCCAAAAATTAAAAGTCTTTCTCCTCCTCCAGGGAGCCTCCCTGATTGATCAACAGCTACTGGCTGGCACCATCTCATTCATCAGAGCACCCAGGGCCTTCAGTGAGTGGCCGGGGTGTCTGTGTACAGTTAGAACCTGTCCCCCACATGACCCTCTGATCATCTGGTCATTCTGGGAAGAGAATAAAGAAGGTAACACCATGAAAACTAAGACTGTAGGAAAAGAATGTGGTTGATTTAGTTGAGGAAGCCTTTGCCCTACACAAATGGAGCTGGTCTAGCTGGGTGCTCAAAAACCTCTCTCTCCTCCCCACCTTCACTTCCTCCTGACCTGGTTTTGTGTCTTAGCAGTGAACAACCTTGCACTGGTGGAGCTCTCCGAAGGTCTGGGGTGCTGGACTCAGGACCCGGGGCCACCCCACACCCATGCATGCAGGTCCTCCTGTCCTCTTTCCATGTCCTGGGCTGCTCAAGGGACTGGCTCCTAGCCCACAGGGAACCTCGCCTCTTAGCTGGGGTCTCTGCCCCATGTCCTGGGTAGAACAGACTGAACCTGAATGCCCTGTACTAGTCCTGAGCCTGGAAGGACCCCAGACCTTCAGTTTTATCTCCAGAATGCTCGCATGTGTCATTGACTGTGCGTGACTTGTGGTGCCAGCTTAGGCCCCCACCCACATGAACACAAACAGGATTGGATATTGGGGCTCCCGTGTCATCCATTTGGCTCCTTTTTCACCATCACCCTCCTTGTGTATCCACCAAGGAGCTCCAAACTTGAGCTCTTGTCCTCACTAACACAAGGACAGATGACATTCTCTCAGTCATGCTCCTCATGACCGCCTACTCTGAAATACACTTGTTTCATCCAAGAGAGGGCTACCCGACCATTATTTTCTTTCCTCGAGAAGCCACCACTTGTGAGGCGAGGGGAAGCCTGGCTCCCCTACGTGACTGACCTCTCCTCTGCTTCAGAACCTCAGTGACAGTTGGGTCAGCCCAGGGTGGTCCTATGGGCTCCTCCCCCATCTCAGCCGGTGAGGTGGGGTCTCCTGAAGACAGAGAGAGGCTGGGAGCCTCTGTGTATGTGTGTGTGCACACAAGGACTCTGTGTATGTGTGTGTGCACACAAGGAAGAGGAGGCGGAAGAGCAAGGACAGGAGAAAGAGGAGGAAGAGAAAGAAGAAGCTGAGGAGGAGAGAGGGCAGGTGCCCATCAGGCAGGTGAATCTTGAAGTTGGCTGTGGACCACTCCAGAAGTAGCCCAGAGGCCTTTGCTCTGCAGAGCCTCCCCTCATCAAGCAACCCCTCACCCTTCTCCCACCCACCTGCCCACCCCTCCCCCACCCAATGGTTCTTAGCCTGATACGGGCCATAGATAATTTCCCTCAAAAATTAGGGCACTCTGTGGACCCTCTTTCCAGAAAAATATGTGCACATAAAGTGTGGGTGCCATTTAGGTACCCCTGATACTCTCAGTGCAAAAGGCCCTGCTTTCCAATAAGATGGCTCACAGGGCAGGGTGGCCTGTTAGCCCTTGGTGGAGAGACTGGGCTGGCAGAAGCTCTGGATGAGCTCGGTCGTGCAGGAATCAGTGGTCACATGAACCTGGCACCTGGTTCAAAGGCCTCCTGTTCCAGTGCTTTCTGACTCAGCATGGGAGAGGTCACAGCCCGTAGAGACCCCCACAGACAGATCTTCAAGGAATGACTGGGGCTGCCAAGGGGCACCGAGCTGGATCAGCAACACAGAGCAGCCTTTTCCCTTTGCTTCCTTACCCGCTGCCTCTGTCTGGCGGCTCATGGTTTCCCGCACAGGACTGAGCACTGCCTTCACGGCTGGACACCTCCTGGAGCTCATTTCCCTGGAAACGCTGCAGAAAAGAGTCAGGTCTCTGCTCCTCGCCGTGCAACTGCCTCTCAGCCCATGAGCGCAGGGAGATGATGAGGCGTGACAACCTGGGAGGTGATGGACAGCAATGGTCAGAGGAGGGAGGACAAAGGAAACCCACTCTCTGGTCTCCAGGGGCCAGCAGAGGCCACCAGGCAGCCCAAGACCAGGGTGATGCTCAGGCCCATGTCCCACCTTGTAGGGGCCTTTTATTCCCTTCCATCTGCCTCCCCAGTAAGGGAGGCTGTCCTTTTATTATAACTCTGTGAGGGCCTGATCCTGAAATGGGGCTGTGGCAAGCTCTTCTCGTCCTTCCTGGCTATGACCGCTAAGCATAGGAACAGCAAAAGTACGATATGCAAAGGGTCATGCTCAGAGCAAAGTTTAAAGGAACAGATGTCCACATACAACTTAGATTCTTTCCCCAGTACTTGCTCTATGAAGCTTTTCTTATGCGAATCCCAGTTCTCTCCCCAGGCTTGTGTAGAAGTTGTTTGGAAACTTCTTGGGGACCTTCTTCCCCCCAACCAGAGAGCTCAGCTGGTCCCCAGAGCTCACTTGAGCTGGGGGAACTGACCTTTGTTGGAGGCTCCTCTACCCTGCCTCTCCTGTCTGCCAGAGGGGGCAGCAGAGATCCCACCCTTGGTGTCCTCCCTTGGCACCCACAGGGCGGCCCCCAGTAACGTTAGCAACCAGGAATTCAGTCACAAACAGTCACACACCTCGCCCCCCCATCATGCTCTGGCGTCCTTAGCTAAAGGGTTACATCCAGGCGAAATACACACATCGAATCCCCCGACCCCCAAGATGTGGAACTGGGGGTGAGGGCAGGAGGCGAAGATGGTCCAAGTATGTTAGGGCATGCGCAAAGCTGCCAGCAAGGACCCCATTAATTAATAAGTGGAATCATCAGTTAAAATGAGTGAAACAAAACAGCCCACACGGCCCAGCTGCGCAGAGGTTTGGCAGTGCCTGCCTCACCAACCTCTGCGCCCCGACTCCCCACTTCCTCTCTCTGCGGGGACAACAGAACCAAGGTCGTCCTCTCCCCTCCAGCCTCAGCCAGCAGGGCGCGAGCTGACAACCGACCCACTGCAGTCCCTGAAGCCTCTGCACCCTCAGGAGCTGTGGGGCTGGGTGTTTCAACCTAAGACCATCGGGTGAACCCGTTCCAGCCTGTGCCTGCTGCTGCCTGTGTGAGCAGAGCCCGGAGTGGGTGGGGAGACGTGCAGAAAAACAGAGACTTGGGAAGCTCGGAGAGAAAACGAGGGAGCAGATCGCTGCCCATCCCCACCCCGTCGCCGTCCCTTGCACCCTACAGCTCCCCTTTCACACGTCTGTGCCATTAGTGTGTTCCAGCGCCTGGCCGCAGCCCTGCTGCAGCCCTTTCAATCATCCAGAGACCCGCTCTCTCTGACAACCAAGGAGCCTTAATTTTGTTAGTAAAACAACACTGGAGATCACTGAAATGCCTGGCTCGTTAACACATCATGGCAGTGCAGCATTCTCCACCATGAAAATTATGACGGATAAACAGTTGAGCACATTTTGGACAATAATCTTAAGTGGAACAGATGAACACATGCCTGGGTTAAACCAGGGCACCGGTAACAAAAGCATGGGGGAGGGGGTAACAAGCCTGTCCTCTGTGTGTGTGTGTGTCTGTCTGTCTGTCTGTCTATCTGTGCACACTCGCCTGCCGAGTCTTCCCACTTCACTGGTTGACTTTCTTTCTGAATTTTCCCACATTGAACAAGTCCTCCAAAGTATTTTTCTTGGAGCCATTTCAGATCGAGACAGTTTTCTCTCAGACTCCTCTGTGCTCAAAGTGCCTGCCCCGGGAGGAAGGTAATCCAGGCCTGGTTAACAGCAGGCTGCTGAGAGCCTCCACATCTAGGCCCCCGCACCCCACCCAGCATGGTTTCTGGAGATGTCACCTCCCTCTGCCTCAGGCTCCCTTTCCCACTCCCAGGGCTGGGGCTGGGGGTTACCTAGCTGGTCCTGGGCTGGTGAAGGAGCCTTGCCTGGGTCCAGCAGGTCCTCCTGTCTCCATGGTGATCCCACTCCGCAGGATGGATGCGTCCTTGCAAGGCGCGCAGGTCCTGGGAAATCCAAAGTGCAACACACAAAATTGATTTCAAGCTCATTCTCCTTGTGCACACGATCAGGAGAGATGGACGAATGCCCTGCTTCTGAGGGCACCAGCTGACATGTGTCCTCAAGCCAGGGCCCCCTATTTCTGTGCAGTTCCAACAGCCCCAGACAGTTGGGGTAAATGTAGCCCTTTTTTGTGGTGTAGGGGCTGAACCCAGGGCCTTTGCATGGAGCTAAGCCCCCAGCTCCTCCACCCCTTTTTGAAACTCTTTGAGATAAGATCTCACTAAGTTGTTCATGTTGGGTTTGACTTTTTGATCCTCCTGCCTCAGCCTCCCAGAGTACTAGGATAACAGATGTGCACCATCCTGCCTGACCAAGAAAGAGAGCTTGTCTAGCCACTGTCTGTGGGCAAGGGGAATGAGCAGCAAAGGATGACATGGTCTCTTTTGGAGCTTGATTAGGGGTTTGGACTTGCAGTACCTGACATTTCGAGCCATGCCTGCTGAAATCCTACCTGCGATCAGATGGCCGCCTCCTCCTGGAAGCCTGGCCCAGCCTCCCGTCACACGGCACCTAGGCTGAGGTCCCATTTCCTGGATCTTTCCGTGTGCTTATCTGGCTGCCTCTGCAGCCCTCTGGCTAAGTGGAGAGTCCTGGTCCCTGCATGACATTGGCCTAACCTTCCAGACACAGGAGGATTATTTTCTGGGGCGAATACTTTCAGATGCAAAACCCTCTCTTCTGTCTCCTGAAAAGCAGAGAGAAAGGCCAGTGACCCCACATGGGCAATTGGCGGTGAAAAGCATGTGCACAGCTAGGACAGGTGTGACAGCAGTGGAGAGCCTGGTGCCTGTGAACAGCACGTTTGGCAGTTGCTGGCTTTCCTTAAAACCTCCTAGGGTGGAACTTGGTGAGCTTGATGAAAAGCCAGCCCGGTATTGGCCCTTAGGAATTTGCACTTCATCCTGAGGAGCTCGGGGAAGGCAAATTAATTCCTTTTTTTTTTTTTTTTTTTTGTCTTTTTTTTTCCTTTTTATCGGTACTGGGGATCGAACTCAAGACTGCCTGCTTTACAAAGCAGGCGCTGATGCCACCAAGCTAAGTCTCCAGTCCCAGAAGGCAAATTAATTCCAGCACGTGGCCTATTCCAGCCTAATCAGCTTTCTTAACAAGGTGATTGAAGCAGGAGGCAAGAATTAACATGTGGGCAAAGCTCAAATCCCTCCCTCCCACTGAGATTAGAAGCCAGAGTGCTGCATCCCAGGTGCTGGGCTGCAGGGCCTCCTTTCAACAGTGACTGTGTTGTCTGCACAGCCAGGAGCTCACTGCAATCCCTTGCTCTGCCCAGCTCACATTGGGCAGCCTGGACTGCCAGCAGGAGCATCTCTCCCGCTGCAGGGCTGCTGGAACCTTGCACAGCCAGCAGCTTCATCTTAGTTTTGTCGCACTTTATGCCCCCAATTTGGGATTTCCCATTTTTCCCCATCTTGAACCCACCTCACCTCATGGATTTGCTCTCTAAAAATCCCTATAAAAGTCAGGGTCCTCTACAACCCACTTGGGATGCCTTCTGATTCTCTTTGGTACAGAAGTTGTCTTTCTCCTAATAAACATATTCTGCTTGTAACCTCCATTGTTCCTGAAAGTCATTCTTCGATTTTAGAGAATACAAACTCATACTGGACACCCGGCGGGCTGGGAGTTTATTTCCCCTATATGGCTGTCACCGGGGAAAAGCCAGGAAGTCTTTGTTGGTTTCAGTGGTCACCAGCTATCAATGGCTCAAACATGGAGCCCTGCAGCACAACTGCTGCTGACTCATTTGGCTTGAACTTGGGCACATGCAGCTGAAGTTTTAGAACTGAGAACCGGGCTTTCCCACTCGCCTTCAATCCCTGCTGCTATGGGATGCATGGAATGGAGAAGAATCTGGCCAGCCTCTCCTCCTGGTACCATCTCAGCCACACACCACTGGGAAGTCCAGAAAGGCTGAGTAACTTCCCCGATGTCACAAGGCCAAAAGGCAAAGCCGTGAAATTCCACTGCTTTTACCCGAAACTGCCCTTTGCATTCTCAAATATAGCATAGATGAAACCAAAAGCTAGTTGGAGACTGAGGGCTGTGCCCTGTGGCTGGCCACCTGACCTATCATTCTGAGCCGTCTGGCTGTGCGATGTGGTCGTGTCTCTATCTTCCTAGAGCAGCTGATTGGCTTCTTCCCTTGGACCCTGAAGGGATGACTCCCATCTCATCTGTGGGGGTCCTGCTGCTGTCCCGAAGCTGCAGTTTCCCAGAGCTCTAATATTCTGCACCATAGGTGTATTCTGTATTCAGAGGTGGGATGTGCATTTCAAGGGACCAAGGTCAGTTTCAGGAGGAGGTGGCTGGGGGACAACTGAGTCCATCTGTTAAGTCCCTGGGTCTGAGCTGCTGGCAGTATTGGAGCTGTTGGCGGCAGCTGACCATTGGGCTGGGATTCTGTCACACCGTATGTGCCTGGGTGACCCAGCGGCAATTCCAAGGATGATGGGTCCTGTCCCCTGTCCTCTGTCCCCTGTCCCCACCAGCGGCCCAGCATTTCTGCCCATCTGGTTTCTGTTCCTCACAGGAGAGAACATCCCAACACCAGATTTTTTTCATGTTTGCAGCAAAGGAATCAGCAGCAATCATGGCATCAAAAGTGGTGGGCAGGTAAGGAGGGCAAGACTCACTCTGATTCCAAAGCAAACCCAACTGGCAGCGGCAAGAGCCACCGCGTGCAGATCATGTGACTATCACAGGGAAGCATCAGCTGGGAGGGGGGAGGCTTGAGTTCAAATCTCTACTCCAGCACCTGTCTGCTGGGGATCAGTGGCCTGGTCACTTTGCCCTCAGAACTGAAGCCTGTTGACCTTTATGAAGCAACAAGGGAAAATTGGACAGTTTCTTCTCGATCTCAGCATTGTTCAAACACCAGGCCCAGAGAGGCACACTTAGCCTCAAAGCTCAGTCTGTGATGGAATCCAATGGCCTTTCCTTCCCTGGTGCCGTCTTCATAACTGCCTCTCATAGCCTGAAATTCTTCCAAATCAATATCTTTCTTTTAGCTTCAGAGTCTTCCTTACCTTCATTGAACACCTGGAGGTATCTATAGATGATTAGCCATGTACTGCAGAAAGTCACTATTGTTACCAATGGACCACATGTGTGATGGTGGTCACATAAAATTATAATGGAACTGAAAAATCCCTGCCACTTACTAAGGTCTCACATCGATTGCAGGATGATGGAATTGCCTAGCAACGGATTTCTCATCAAGGGTCCCTGTTGTTAATGCATGACTGTAGTTATGCATTACACTGGGAGAAACGGACTTCACGAAGCAGGTGGAGCAGAGGTGGAAGGAGGGGAAAAGAGAGGAACTGAATGTCTCAGGTGACATCTGAGACCTCAAGGAGATGCAGGCACTGAAAAATGGAAGATGTTTTGGCAATCAGTACAAGAATGGGGGAACTAGAGCTTCCAGGGAAACAGAGGCAGGAGAGTTGGGGGCCAGACCCGGTCCTGCCTGTAGCTAGCAGAGGGGCTCGGACCATGGCCTTTCTTGGACCCCAAGGTCGTTATAGGGTGACCAAGCCAGGACCCTCGAAGCTGCCCCAGCTTGCACAGGGTTGGATTCAGGTGGCGAAGATGCTTCAAGGCCCTTGATGTTGGCATCCATAAAAACAAGACCAACAAATGCAGGCCCATTCCGCGGGTGCCTCATCTGAAAGACGGGTGGGTGCACCTTGCAGTGCTCAGCTTCAAAGTTGATTTGCAGAGGGGAGTTGGTGCCGGCAAGGGAATGGTTTCTTTTGTCCTTTGTCATTGGGTGAGGACAGATTCTCTCACGAGAAGGAGCTGCTAATTAACTTCTCACTCCAGAAAACCTGGTGTCTTTGTCCGGTGACTTTGGGGACGCACAAGAGTAAACCAGGGTGACCTTTCAGCATCAAGCCAGGGAATATATATGACATTTTCTTTTTCTTTTCCTCTTCTCAAGCCCCGAGGAACTTGAATGTCTGGGATCTGCTGCCATTGGCCACCTGTGACTGGCAACAGAAGCCACCGTGTTTCTAAGTCTTTGGTCTGGGAGAAGCAGTTTTCTCTGGTGATAATTGCTTTGGGCTCCTCTTAGGAAGTAGCACAGAAAAAGCCTCTTCTGTGGGATGTGGCTCCTCAGCCCAGGAGCTTGCTCACAACAGCTGCACCGGAGAGGGAGAGGCTGAGCTTCAGGTTCCTTCTGTTTGTACAGCAATTCTCAGTGTATATATATAGACTGGTCTCAAACTTGCAACACTTCTCCTGTCCCAGCCTCCTGAGTGCTGGGATCACAGGTGTGCGCCTGGATTTTTGGCCTTTGTGTATATTCTAAATTCTTTCTCTATTGCATTATCTTCAAGACCATGCCAAATAGCTCCTAGATAATTGAGTCAAATAAGCAGGACTAAGCAGAAAAGAAAAGCAACAGATTTTTATTTCTGGTATTTTCAGGATCTAAAATGTTCTCATTTAAAGGAAGCATTTTTATCCTTCTTTACAGCTTTCCCTGGTGATAAGTCTAGTGATTTAGTAAAGAGAGAAAGAAAACTGGGCCTCCAGTTTGGTGAAAACCAGGGTGTGGTGTGGACAGGAATGTCTCAGGGAACCTTGTCACAGCAGCTCCTTCATCCTGGGGATGCTTAGCAAGGGGACACACAGCACACAGCTATGACCAACTTCTGGGTATCATTAAACAGTGATTAACACTGCAGTTCACAAAGTCACAAAGTCCAAGTATTTATCCCAAAAGCTTCCTTTTCTTTTTTCTTTCTCTTCTTTCCCTCTTCCTTCACTCTTTCCTTCTTTTCTCCCTCCTTCCCTCCTTTCTTGTCTTAGTTTTCATTGTTTGAGACAAGATCTCACTAAGTAGCCCAGTCTGCCTTTGAACTTGAAATCCTCCTGCTTTAGCCTTTTGAGTGCCGGGATTACAGATCCTGAATCTCCTTTTTAATGGGAAGGAATTTCAAAGCAAGGCTGTGTTTTGTCCAAACACCATGTCTCTCCTTGCTGCCTTCTCTGCCCTAGGGAACCTCGAGACTCCACTAAAAGCTTGACTTTTGTTCCTCCAGGCATAAAGGGACAATGGGGAGAGGCCCACTTGGCTGGAAAGAGCCCTGACCCTGGCAGCTTTTGTGTTTCTCCCACTGGGCCTGAGTCTAGAAGCCTGGCATCACTTCTGGGCATGGGCTGGGGCTCTTTCTCCTCTGACACCCAGCACTCTCATCGAAGCTCCCCTTCAAGGGCCTTAGCAGCTCATTGTTGGGGAGAAACTGTTAATACATACTAAGGTTTCCGCAGAGGCAAATGTTCTGTCCTTTTTTCTTTTAGTAAGGGGCAATGCTTTGGCCTACAAGAACTAGTCTGCAGCAGCAGGTCACAGGCATTTATGAAAGGCCAGTTAGAGGAATGTGTTCAGTTAGGATGGGATTTCCTGATGCCTCTGATGTCTCAGGCAAGCTCCTGGAGTCCCAGCACCAGCTTGTAATGGTTGGAGGAACTAAACGTCTGTTGGTTTGCTCTGAGATTTTCTTTCCTTGACCTGAATCTCAGAACCTGAGTGCAAGGGCTGCTTAAATTTGTAGTAATGGAGCCTCAGTCCCTTTGAGATTGTTGACCATCCCCTATTCACAGTGTTTGCTGAGGTGCTGGGACCAAGAACATGGACAGACAGAGAACAATACAGATGTGCCTCTATAGGAGGCCCTGCCTGTGGGTGAGCACAGGGACGTGGCATGTGGGGGTGCAGGGCTGTCATCACATGTTGGGGCCATCGGGTAATGCCTGTGTACATTTCACAACAGGGAGAAAATTTCAATTCTGTATTACAGCATTAATAATGGAAAGAAAGTTTCTCATGGTTTAACCTAATGTCTCATTGAGCATTTAAGAGTTATAAAAGTGTGAGTCCATGTGCACCTCATAGGTCATCTCTTATGTCCTTATCATCAGGAGCTGGGGAAAAAAATGTGGTTCCATTTACAAGTGAGGAAACTGAGGCAGAGGGAGGTGAGGTCAAGGTTTAGTAGTAACTTAGAAGTGGCATTTAAGGCTCCTGATTTCCATAGGCTGCCCGAGGGGTCAGGATGTCATCCATGTGGCTAACAGCCTGGCTGCCCAAGGATCATGCATTCCCCACATTGGTCCAGGAGCGCGGCTAAGTCCTGATGCTGCCCTGAAAGTGAAGGGCGTGGCTTATACTACACCCTTAGCGCCCAGGGTAGGGGCTGGAGCAGAGTCCAGGACGTTTCTAGACATGCAGGCAAAGTGTAGCAGCCTGGAGATGTTTTATAATAGTTTCATCTGCAACAATAGGGTGATGGGGTGACTACCCCGGCCACCAGTGCGTGCCCAGCCAATCCTAAGGCAGGGCACACAACACTGTGACAGGCACACGACAAAAACCCCACCTTACCTGCTGAGGCCGTTTTCAGCAAGATCAAAGTTGCTGCCCGTGGTCTTCACTCTGGTCCAGGGAGGATGGGAGTATTGGGTGCTGACCTGGGCCATCTTCTGGCTTTACCACTTTCAGCGGAAGGTGACCGCTAAAATGTGAGCACAAAGCAGATGCACCGTCAGGACCAAGAGGTGACCCCAAAACAGGTCCTCGCAGACAAAGCTGCTCCCCGTGGTCCCCAGGCAAGCTCTGGTTCACACGCCCTTCCCCACACCCAGGGGCAGTTCCCGCCCGCTGAATTTAAATCGCCTGTCTCTCGCCTCTCTTTCCAGCCTGGATTGATGGGTGAGGCCACGCCCAGGAGCTGTCCAGAGTTCAGTGCTGAAAGTGATAACCAAGCAGGTATCTGAGGTAAGGAAGCCGGTACCTGGAGGTCCTAGGGCATGAATCTAGGGAGTGCTGAGCTGCACCCCTAGACCTTTTTCTTTTTTGTTTTCAGGCAGGGGCTTGCTAAGTCATCCAGCCTAGCCTCAAACTTGCCATCTTCCTGCTTCAGCCTGCTGAGTAGCTATACTACGGCTAGTATCACCAGGGCTCATTTCCTTACTTTTAATCTTATAATTTCACACATTTAGTAGCTCTTCTGAGTTTTTTAAAGTGTGAAAAAAGTAACACTATCGACATTTAGAAAATCTTTACCAAAGATGCTAAACCCCATTATACTTTATCTCTTTTAGTGCCATGTAGCCTCATAAAGCATTTGTGACTTTTTCCTTACTCACATGACCAAGTTGAGGCTCAGAGATGCCCAGTGGAAAGCTTGTCCAATAGATAATGTTTAACAATGTGACCCTTTTCTTGTGCCAGAAATCTGACTCTGAATTCTTTCCCTTCAAGAAACCCTGCACGGTGCCCCTAGGATTGAGGAGAAAGGGAGTTGTCATCCAGGCTTGGCTGGTGTGGGGCAAGTTCTGTGACTTCCAAACAACTCTCCCAACTGGAAAATAACTTCTGAGGATAATTTCCTTAAAATAGCCTTTGCAAGGCTCTCTGGGTGGTCACATGGCTTAAATGTGTGAGATATCAGTAGAGACCACTGCAGAGAAAGATGGCAACTTCTTTTTGTTTTTAAAAATTTTTAAATACCAAGTACATTTATTAGAAAAGAAGAAAGTTGTGAAATATCTTCATATCTTTCCTTGAGAAATTAAAAATAAAAGACAGACTAAAACCAAAAAAAAGAAGAAAATAATAAAGATCAGAAAACACAATCCCTTATCAAACTGAAGATGGCAATTTCTATACATGGCCCAATGGCTCACTGAAAGACCAAGTTAATTTCACATCTAGAAGGAGGTCAGTGTAAGAAACTCAGGGTGTTTCCCCAGAGCAGCTCCCATGGAGGTCCCTGCTCTCCGCACTCCTTGCATCCCAGGAAACAGAGAGCCAGAGATGGCCATCTTCCAGTTCAGGTGTCACCATGGCAACAAGTTATAAGTAGGGTAAACCCATAGCATCTTGCATCTTGCTTAGCTATTTTGTGGGTTGCTCCTCCTCTGCCCTGGGGCCTCCCTGTGTCTCCCAGGGTAATGTGCTCAATCACATGGGCCTTTCTGGCACAAGTGCACACCCAGGAGTGCTAGGCAATCAGTGCCCTTCAAGCGGTCACCCTGGACTAGTTGAAGCAGCACTCAGACGGTGTTGCATTAATTAAACTTCAGCCACCGTGATGCGATGCCCAAAGAAAACAATCTAAAGGAGGAAAGGCGCATTTTGCTTATGGTTTCAGAGGGTTCAGTCCATAGTTGTCTGGCTCTACTGGTGCTGCTTGTGGTGAGGCAGAGTTTCAAGGCGAATGGGGGGGGCATTGTTGCTCATCCCATGACAACCAGCAAACAAAGAGAGCCAAGGGTCAGGGCAAGATTTGCCACTCCAGGCCACTCCCTCAGTGGTGCACTTCCTCCCTTACATGCTCCATTGCCTCCCAATACTCCAAGCAATTATGAACCCATCAGTGGACCAATCCATTGGAACCAATAGGCCAGAGCCTCCCGAACCCCACCTTTGAATTCTGCTGCACTGGAGGCCAAGCTTTCCACACAAGGCCCTTTGAAGGACATTTCAGATCCCAGCTATAATGGGTGTACTCTGTCCTCTAAGGTAACCTCCACAGCCTTGGAGAGACCCTCACTGAGGAGAGTGGTGCACATCTGATGACATACATTGGGTTTCTTTCTCTTCTTAACCTTTGTTTTCTTCCAAGACCCTTATGCCTCTCCCTTCAGTCAGCTCCCAAGTCAGCAGCCCATATGCCTAATCTTGTCTATACTCCAGCCTGTTTTCATTTGGGGAGGGGCTTGTCGAACCTGAGATATTGTTTGAAGTATAGATATTCAAACACATGGTGAGTGGGTCATTTGCACACTAAATCAAGTGATTTGTGTGCAAATAACCCACTAAATCAAGTGTGCAAATAACCCACTTTCCAGTGAGCACTTTCCAGGTTTAGGGGCAGACCTGACTTCTCTCTTGGGTTTTTTTGTACACCAGGAGATCTCTATCACTGAGATAAATCCTCAGCTCTTTAAAACACATTTTGACTTTGAGATAGGGTCTTGCTAAGTTTCCAGATTTCCCAGATGGGTTTGAACTTGTGGTTCTCTTGCTTCCCCCTCCCTCAGTGCTAAAATTACAGGTGTGCACCACTGCACCTGGCCTATTTCTCTTTTAATTCTGTGTTGTTTGGAGTTGGATAGAGTAAGATTATTCATAAAATCCCCCATTATGTCATAGGTTATAAATGATTATCTCTAAAAACATGTGCGTAAAAAGAATCAGAGTGCAAGTCAGATCTATATATTCTGATCGGTTAATATATTTATTCACACTTGTTGATCCAAAGTTTTTTGTCTATGTCCCCTGTTTTCTTTTGTGGCTGAACTTAGTCTTGTAGTTTCCTATAGTGCAGGTTTCTGTGGATCCCAACTTTAAAGTATTTCCCATGTACTGACAATTGCATCCTGAGGGCCCATCAAATTTGTATTCCATCTTTGTGTTTTGGTGAGACTGTGTCAGTGGGCAGCTATGTTCTTCCTTTGGAAGGTCCGTGAGACTTGAAGATGTTTCTTTGGGTGATGTTAGTGTAGCAGCAAATGCAGTCCCACCCTCTCCAGCCAGAACACTTCGGTTGCCCAGGTGACAGTTCCTGTTGCAGTTCTGGTTGCTTCTGTTTTTTAGAAACAAGGGGTCACTGTGATGCATATTGTAAAAACCAATCAAAGGCAGACAAATACTCTACCTCTATACCTCCCCTTCGCAGTTCCACAAAAACCTCCCTCCCTGGGCCTTCAAGGCTTGACGTTTTGAGGGACAATTGATTCCCTGCCAGTGCCCATCTGATGTTAAATAAATCTGCCTCCAAATCCTCGGTGTCATTTCAGGGTTTGTGCTTGCCATTGCAGTAGCAGCCCTTTGATGACCGTTACCGAGATCCATCAGCTCTTCGGAGGCTGTAAATTGGTGATAGTATACCATTTCTTCCTCAGTTAGCTAAGACGTTCTTTAAAAATAGATTTTAAGTCATTAATTGCTTGACTGATTGGTGGTAGGGTTCCTGAAAGGTAAGATCAATACTTGATTCTTTCCCTTTCCCAGTTGCTAAGTCCTGTCACCTCAAGAGAGTACAGAATGGCCCAACAGGCTTCTAGAACTCACAAAGGAACTCAGGAAACCATGATCAGTGACCCTGAGGCTGTCAAAAATGAAAGCAGCTGCCCAGCATGAAGCCCTCGGATCCAGTGCTCTTGATCCTCAGCATCCAGGGAGGGTGCAGCTGTGCTGATTTTGCAAATGAAGGAGAGAAGGATTGGGTCTGTTGTCCCCATGGTGCTTGTTTTGTTCTGTTTACCACATCCACAGCAGGGGGTTAGAAATGCATAAATATAATTTTAATTTCCAAGAATGGGAAGCGGATGTGTCCTTCCTGCCTGGCAGATTACCTTACTGTGGCCTGCAGGCAGGTTTGTGAGCCTCTCCCATGCGAATGTGTTTTCTAGGACCTGACTGGGAATGAACAACATCACAGGCCACTTCAGAGGATTGCTGTTTTCCTTACAGGGTAAGATCAGAGGCCTCCTCCCTCCCCAGGCCTTTTTATTGACTCTTGGCCAGTGTGTCTCAAGCACTGGCTTGGCCTGAGGGCTATGAGTACAGGTCTGTACCTCTGAGGGCAACCCAGTGGGAGTAGGGCAGTGCTAGAGGTGTGGAAACTGAGGCAGAGGCTGGGTGGGGTTGCAATATGGATTAGGGAGGAAAGCCCAGCCCCATCTCAGGGAATGCAGAGGAGGCTTCCCAGGTGAGAACCAATCGCACTGTTTCTTTAACTTTAACCACCTGTGTTGTGCACCTTGAGGAATCTGACTTGAGACTTTTACACTCTGGTGTTCATCACTGTCTTGTCATTGGCCTGGACACCTGATTAGGGTAGGCACATCATGTGATTCATGTGCATTCTGGGTATTTTTGTATTTTTCTTGTTCCTAACTCCAAAAGCCTTAAAGGCAAAACCTATTTGCCTTTTTCTTAGGTATTTTATTCTCTAAATAGCCAGCATATACAGATAGTAGGTAATACAAAACATGTGTGGCTTAGATGTGGTGGCATGTGCCTATAATCTCAGAGAGGCTGAGACAGGAGGATTTATAACTCTGAGCCCAGACTAGGCAACTCAGCACCTTTAGGAGCTCGTGTTTCAAAAAATGAAAACAAAGGGCTTGGGATGTAGCTCAGCACCAAGGCCCTGGGTTCAATCCCCAGCAAACACACACATGTGTGCACACACATACATGTGCATGCACAAAAATATGTGGCATATATAGAAGAGGAATAACTGTGTAATGACACAGTACTGACCGAGTACTTACTCTCTGACTGGTTCTGTTCTTTCTGTTCAAATAACTTACAATGTACCCAACTCATTTGATCTTTTTTTTTCTTTTTTGTCTTTTTCATTTTTATCGGTACCAGGTATCGAACTCACGACTGCCTGCATGCAAGGCAGGCGCCTATGCCGCTGAGCCAAATCTCCAGCCCCAACTCATTTGATCTTAAATAATCAGATGAGCCACACGAGAAATTTCCACTCCACTT